GACTATTCGGAAAATATCTTCTTATTAATAGGATTATTACATTGGAAGAGATATAATAATATTAACAATTCACTCTCCCAGAACTTTCTATCGGCTACTAGCAACATTCAAAATATAATCCCCTTGACCGTTCATGAATCACCATCCACACAACTAGAAATCCCCCCTCAACCCTCCACCACATCGACTCTTCATCGATCATGTCCCATCAAAATGTAAAACCACCATACCCTTCAATCCACAATTCCACCAAACTCCAATCCTCTCCAAAATCCATCCCACCCCAACCCGCCTTTCTCTGCAGCTTGGCGAAAATTTTCACCGTCTCTCATTGTCTATACATCTCCATGCGAGACCTTTCCTCGGCACCACCCTAGACCCCACAAGTGCCAAAATCCATATCCCAAAACCACAAAACCACCAAAAATAAAAAGAAAAACACCATCCTTACCGCCCCTTCACCCATACCACCCCACACAATACCCCCAAAAAAACCTCCACATAAATCCATCTCCACAATACACCTCCACACTGGACCCTGTAGGTTTCGCAGCCATCATCTTTTTCATCTACTACCACATCCATAAAACAACCCACCCCCAAAAAACACCACACAAAAACACCCAATGGGCAAACTCAACGTGCGCTCCAAGCTCTGGCTCCCGGCGCTCGGCCTAGCGCTCATTTTCTTGATCGTCAGAGCCTTCCACAGACCGCTGGACTCGTATACGCCAGAACAGATCAACGACATGTTTCAGGATAAACAGTCTTCGCTAGTGCACGTCCGCAAGGTGGAGCTTCGTGAACAGGGGCTCTGGCGGCCGTACATCGATGCCGAGACGCTCCGGTCGCCCAATTGGAACTTGGCTGGGAATTACCAGATCCAAGAGGACCTGGTGCGTTTGGTTTCCGATTCTCAGCAACAGGTGGCCAACATGTTCACCAAAATGCCCATCCAGGCGCAGTCCTTTGAGATGGAGCTTACTTTTCATATTCAGAGCAAGAACACCCGGAATTTGTACGCGGACGGAATGGCGGTGTGGTTCTTGGATGAGCCTTCTCCGTTGGGCGATGTGTTTGGCGCTAAGAACTACTTCACTGGATTGGGCATTTTTGTGGACACGTATCGCAACGGCAAGCAGAACCTGTTTCCTCATATTGTGGCGATGGTGGGCGACGGACGCACGGAATACTCGAAAATGGCCGATGGCTTCGATACCATGTTGGCGTCCTGCCGGGCCAGGAAAGCCGTCAATCCGGAGTCCGGCAGTGTTCGTATGAGAATTGTGTATTTGAAGGACGGCTACTTGTCGTTGGACTTGAACTACGAGCCGGATAACGACAAGAAATGGCGAAACTGCTTTACCGTTTCGGACGTCAAGCTTCCTGTGGTGAAATACCTCGGGTTCAGTGCCGAAACGGGCGAGCTTTCCCATTCTGTGGATATCATCGAAAACAAGGTGTTTGCGTTGTACCACCCGGAGTCGAACGATTTCGTGGCGTCCATCAAGGACTTCCAGAACATGATCGAGACGCAGCAGGAGGTCAACGACAAAACCACCAAAAACAAAAAGACGAGAAACGCCAGAAAGTCGTTGAGAAGACTCAAGGCGGCCGAGCGCAGAATCAAGGAAAAGGAGCGCAGGCTTCGACAGGAAAAGTACGGCGATCCGGATGCCACGCTTATGGTCCGCATCGGCCGCATGTCGCTTACCATCATGAAGTGGGCGTTTGTCGTTTTCTTCCTTGGTGTGTTCTCCTACATTGGGTATAATGTTTATCGTACTCGGAAGCAAACACGCCGCTCCAAGGCAACGGGGTTGTTAGATTAAAGGTGGCGGAGAAAAGCCGTTTTTCGTGATTTAGAATTGTCGGTTTGCAAGGCCAGTGAATTGATGGAATCCGGATTACTAGAGTATTGAAGTTCGTCGAATCAGCGGCTTATTGATTTACGGTGTGCTTGATCAGTGAGTGTGAGTCAATCGTTTACTAGATCAATTTGCGAATACCCCTTTTGCTAGAGTGTGAAAAGCTTTGTTAAACATCCGCTAGATCACTGATTTGTTGATGTACGGTTTGCTAGATTAATGAATTTATCAACAAAATTACTGTATCAGTGATCTATTGAATTACCATTAGTTGCGAGTCTCTGCGATTTATCGATAAGCAGCCTTTCAGCAGCAATTTCCAAGTCATTTCAATAACCCGCTAGTTCAAGCAGTATGTGGTAGGCTCCTTTATAAACTATTTGATATTGGCTAATCCTTCAGTAAAATGGCCTTGTTCTTTTAGTTCCCCAATCAGTTCCCTAATTAGCTGCCTGGCCTACCTCTTTCTCGACTTGACCGTAGAGCTGGCCACCTCGGCGCCGCTGGCCTCCACTTCCCCCTCCCCATCAAGCTCAAGCTCGTACGTCTGTCTGTAGACGCCGAAAAACCGCTTCACCACACTATCCGGAATCAAGCTCAAGAACTTCTCGCCCTTGACGTCGCCCTCGGCAAAAGGATCAAGCTGTGTGGTGGCCAGCTTGAGCTCAAAGCCTCTTTTCTCGAGAACAGGCCGGTTGAGCTCGTCCACCGAATATGCATCACACAGAAGCACTGTGCGAGGAGCCTTCTTTTTGAGCTTGTTTTTCTTGACGTACGCCGCCGCCAAAACCCGTGTTTTCTCCACGGCAATGTCCAAAAGATCGCTCTGCAAGCCGGCCTCCTTGTACGCTTTTCTAACGTGAAAACCGGTGATTTGAGCGTAGAAGGTGTCTTTGGAGGACTTTTCCGGAACCAGCACCACCGTGACGACGGCAATGGGCGACTCTCTGTATTCTATGAGCTCCGTTGTTGCCGAGGCCGTTTCCAAAAATTCAGCACTGGCCTTGTTTTCCAAGTCCTTGGGTGACGAGTTGGCATACACCTTCAACGGAAACAGAAAAAGCCGCTGCTGGTACGCGTCGCCGCCCAACTTGTCGCTGATCTCCCTGATCTCGTCTGTGAGAAGAAAACTCGTGAGTCCCACCGTTCCCGCCACGAAAATGAGCGACGGAAACACCGCAGTAACCAAGTACTTATTGTGCAACACTAGGTCGCCAAACTCGGCCCACGTGTCCAGCACGGCCCACAAGTCGTGGAACTGGTACACCACGGTGACGGTAAGCACCAGAACCATGAAGATCTGGGTGGCTGGGTGCCAGAAGATCCGGGCATTTGTCTTTGACTGGAGCTGTCTGTAGAAGTCACCGTGTAAGGTCAAGGCGGAGAGGGCCAAACGGGGACGCAACGGGCTTCTGCGGATGGTCGCGGGAACCTCTCTGTCCAAGGGTTTGTGGAGATCCAAGTCGGGGTGGTAGACCATTGTGTAGTTGGAAAGTGGCAGCTGAGGTTCGTAAGCGAGAGATGACACATTAGTGCATGCATGAGACGTAGGCGTATAAGCTGCACGTGGGGTGTTTCCGAGATTGGACAGGTGGAAGAGTTGGCTTTTTTTTTTTTTTTGTTGAAGGGGCGTTTTAGTCGTTTTGGGTGGGCGTGTCGATTTTTGTTAATTTGGTTTTTTGGGTTGGTTGGAGTGGAGTAGTTTGGGGTGGGTGGATGGGTCTTATCGGCTAGCGCTAATTTGTGCATATCGGTGAGGTGATGAGGTGATTGTGGAGGTGGTTGTGGAGATGAGTATGGGAATTGAGGGTTATTTGGTTGAATCGCTCATGGTTTTCTTTATACTCTGGTGTTGGCTTGAAGCAGGTTATGAAATAAATGTGGGTGTTCCAAGTACATTGTAGTTCTCATCTGAGAAGTCATCACGTTTTGGGATTTCTGGGGCTTTCCGAGGCCTTTATAAGGATTTTTGCTTAGAACTATCATTTTCTGGCAGTCTTTTCCAGCGATTTAACGAAAAAATTTAAGCCTACAGAAAACAGCCTTCTCCGTGTGAAGCCTGATCAGCACCTCCAGTACCGATAATGCAAGTCGCATTTCTCTTCAACACTCTCTTGAAGGCAAATCATCTTTTATCATTTACCGTACACGAATTACCTTGTGATACACACACAACATGTTTGCATCAAATCATATAATGGCCCTAGCCTTCTTCACTATATCATCGTGTTCTAACACCTCTGATATCGACACAAATTACTACAATCAACTATATATGTCCAAGTCAGTTTACACACAATTCACTTCCTTCAATTTAACTCAGTTTGCCCAATGCTTAAACACTAGCAATAGTGAGATAAGAATATTGAAGTCGCTGTTCGGTAGGTACACTGTCGTACCTAGATTTAACTTAGAGTACGATTCTTCTACCTGGTTAGATTGTTTAAGGGAACAATCTGTGAGCACGGCAATGTTCGTCTCGGATGGCACTTTCATTGAAAGTGATGAAGAAGACGAAGATATGGAGGGTTCAGAAGTATTGGAATGGTACTGTAAGTTTGCCACCCGAGCTATCAGTAATTTAGAGAAGTGAGCTGATCCACTAAATAATGTTCGGTATTTCAAGGACGATTCATGGGCTTGTGACAATCCACAAAAGGCCCTGAAAAATCCGGAAACAACTCTTCAATGCGGTTCAGCCATTGTGCAACTTTGAACGGCTTCCGCCTCTTCAGCCATCTCATATTATGCCTCAACTGTCCCGTGGATATATGAGCCCTGGAGCTGACCTGGTTAGCCAAGAAGCACCATGTCAATATAGTCTGTTCCACGAATACCCATGGTTTGACACCTTGATATTGACTTCGAAATACGGGAAACTCTCGAGAAGGCAAGGGAGGCTGATTTCGGGTAAATTGTTGAAACCTCCCTCGAATCAACTGCAATAGCTCTAAATGCCGTAAAACTGATCAAACACGAACTCTTCAAACCATCCACGGCTCAATCGACTAAACGCTCATAACGATCACATCCAATGCCTTCACCAGTTCGTATAACGCCCCTTCTGCCACTGATTTAAAAATTACATTTGCATAAATACCTCGCAATGACTCCCTCTATCCATTAGACCCAATGACTCCAACCGACCTACCAAGTCCAACGCTGTACATCACATCGGTTTCTACAAACCCCAGTGTGGTGGCTCATGCATATCCTTGTGGCCTGTCATCCTCGGTGTTCTACGGTGACATGGCTTGGGATGACTTCGATAAAGCCGGCGAGGTTTTCGCTTGTGCTGTGTCCGATACTAATACAGCCAAAGGTGACCAGTCTCTATGGTTCAAAAAAACGTCAGAGGCATCCATCAAGAGCACAGGACTCTTGGGGATGATTTTTCTAGCTTCAGTTTTGATCAATGTGGCTCTCTGGTTGTGAGGGCCACTGCTTTTGACCTTTTGGGTACAACTTTAGTTTACCTTCCTTACTTTTATCGATCTTTGAATAATACGACGATTTTTGCCACAAGCTGTGTAAGACTCTCCTGTCGATTCATATAACATACACTGTTATAAGAAGCGTATTCCATGTGCATCCAAAAGTAAGTGTCTGTATTTTTCAATGGAGTAGGAATACTTTCCTACCGTCATGATAAATTATTCATGAACAAATGCGGCAAACAGACAAGTCTCCGTTTTTGCTGACTCTTCACTATTGCCGTGGAAAATATGAAAAGCCACATAAATGACATTCCCGCTCCCTAAACCATCCTTTTTTTTTAATAGTGAGTTCTACAAGATACTTTGATGAGCACATGCAAACATAAGCCCGAGACTCTGAAAAAGACGTCCTCTGAGAAGGTGAGTACGATTTTTCTATTTCGAAAATTGGGCACAAATCTCCAGCGTCTGATTCCTGAAGAGGTTGGGGCTTTAGGTGAAAGGCTCTTCTCATTTCGTACGGTAGGAGTGTGGATTCTGGGAGAGCACCACCAAATCACAGAAGTCCTTCTTAAAGCTTCTCGGTTGGTCAGAAATCCTTATACGAAGCCTCTTATTGAAACAGCGAGATTACGGTACGGCGTTTTTTCATTGGGGGAGGGACCAAGTCCTGGTAGCACAATGCTTGCTTTTGAAACCCGAACAACAATACTCACATACGACTGGACTGACCTCACGATGCCCTTACATGTAGAAGAGAATTGTTTTCTTGCTGATGGTAAAGAGAAGGTGACATTTCCTGTTTCGTGTTTCCCCGTTACCTACCTCAACAAAGGGTTCACCCCAGACTTGGACACTGACTCGATCTATCACCTCACCGATAAAAAAATCAATCATGTTGAGTGTGAAATATCGAAAAGATCTCTTTGCTGCAGACGAACACCCTTATCGACTCATGGAATCTAGTCTGTGGGTCCCTGCCAAGTTTGATCTAGATTTAAGTTTCCTTGATCGCGATGGCTTTGAGAGCACCTCCGAGGAAACTTTCATCATCACAAGGGGACGAGTCGAGTTACTAGAATTCAGTATTATACCAAGTTTCGACGCTGTTATCAGTGACGTTCGCTCCGTTGTTCTTTTCGATAAAAAGGCGTACAAGGCAATGTGTCTATCAACATGGCCGTCTAGCATTCCTTCTGAAGTGTGGGACTGTGATTTACCAGACCTTGGCCCCACCTTTTACACTCATGATTTCATCAGAAGCTACGCCTTGAAAGTTTCATTCACAGTAGCACATAAGGAATTTCCGGACACGAACGTATCTGCATTTATGGAGTTCAATATTGCATCAATACTGAAGGAGTACATCAAACAAAAGGACAAGCCTCTTATGCCTCAAAGCTTTCCTGGGTGTATTTTTAAACAAGGGACCTTTGAGCTTTTTCTTGAAGACTCACCAGCTCTCAGGTTGGCTCACGAAGTTCCATCTCTCAAAAGTCCCCGATATAGTTCACAAGATAGCTTCCAGCGATACATCATTCTGTGTGAAAGCAAAGAAGTTGTGACTTGCAATGTCCTTGCAAAAGAGAGCAAGGGCTCCTTTGATGAGGTCTCCCATCTGTCTGGGAAGAACACCCCGAAAACCTCCGAGCATGTATTGGAAAGAGAGATATCTTCCAGTCTGGACGAGGAGATAATCTCTCGTCCCAGACTGTTCAAAAGAGTAGCCTCAAAGGCTCGAAACTGGTTAGCTCGTCGAAATCCTCTGTCAAGCTCATCAAAAAGCTTTTCTAGTACTGGTACGTCACATGTTTCGAAAAGTTCTTCAACTTGGAGCTCGGCTCTAGGATCAGAAGCCTCGATTTTACAGTGTATTGTTTCGGCCGGCCGGGTCGAGAGAGAAACTTCTAGGCGGTTTACTTCAGAACACCGCAAACTGTACCCGATTCAGACTTTTTCTATGGGTGCCGAGAAAGTGCCCTTGATAATTGATGCTAAAGTCGATAACTATGGCGGAATTTGCCATTTACAGAAGATTGGTGCTGTTGTAAAAGTGAAGCCGGGTACAAAGCTTGCAAAACTTGTTTATGTGTACGCCATAGTTGCAAAAAGCTACAGTGATAGGGTCCAAGAACATGTTCTGGCTGAAGATTTTGAGATTCAATTTGAGAGGCTCGAAATAGTTCTTGAAGAGAAGAATTTCAAAAAGATGGAGCAAACAACTAAAGAGACGCTTTTGCTTGATACCAAATGCCTTCCAGTCGTGACCTGGAGCTGCTTTGATGAAACCATCTGTTATGGATCTGCCAAAGCTTTTAAATTCCCGCAGCACATATTTGAAAGCAGCGAAATTCCTCTTGATGTTCAACCCACTCGTGTCACTCCAGAGCATGCTCGAATGTATAGATTACTAGGCCGATTACTGTTCTCGTCACAAGGCTGTACACACACAGCGTACTGGGACCAAAACATATATATCGCCGCTTTCGACCAAGATCCAAAGGTTATCAACCTCTGATATCCTGCGGCGCTCCTAACAATGCTTTTCTTTAAGTCTTGGTGTTCTCGTATTCCTCAAGCTATGTTCTTCAACTCGGTCTTACTTCGTAAGTGCTCTTAAGAATCTGCACGGCTTCCAAAGACTGCTGCTGTAAAGGCATTGTAAGACTTGCAGAGATCACATAACATAAGGCAGGACGCTAAGAAAAGTGCCTTTTTCTCATAACGCCTTGAGCCAAAAGCGTCCGTAACTCACCTCTAATTGGAATCTTTTACCGGAAAAAAGTAATCAAAAGTCAAGAGATTTGTCGAGGACAAATCCGATAAACGGAGTTGCCGACACCTGAAACCTACAAATACTCAGTTGAGCTGCAATGAGGAAAAAGGGCCAGAAATCAAAATGTCAAAGATAACCGAGTCTCCGAGTGTATCCGCTTTATCTCCAGATAATTCAACATTTACATCTCCAGCAAACTCAACATTTACATCCACAGAAAATAACTTAATGGCCTATTACTGTCAGGGTAACACTTCCTACTTAGGCTACCTGAGTCTTGATTGGGATGCTGCGGATAAGATATACGAATGTGGCAGAAACGCCTCTCTCCAACATGTCAGGTTTCTGGGTGCCGTCGGTAAAAGTATGGCACTGATTCATGTGGTCATCTTGATAGCTACACTTTCCGTAAGTGTAACTTTGTTCTGGCTTTAGTTAGTGAATTGACATGAAATAGCTAGAAATGAATGAATAATACTGTTGCTTGTGTAAAACGGCTTTAGAGGTAAGTTATATATGGAGCTTATCTCAGCAATTGATCGTATTTATCTTTTCTTCTCTAATTACAGATATGATGCTCATAATGACAGTTTGACTAATGGTAATCACTCAATAACATCTTGATAACCTACTTTCTATAGAAACGAGATACAAAAAACTCACCATACGCCCATGTCCAGAATAACCTACAAGGTTTCGATTTTGCTAGGTTATTTTGACTCACCTTGGCTCAAAACGTAAAACACGTCATGAGAAGCTTCTCTTGGCAAACACCCTCTCAAAAGGAGCGAGTCTCCAAACCGTATTGTTCGGTTATCCAATAAACGTCAGGACCATTTTACGCAGGTTTGAAGGGTTTGACACCTCTAAGCCCCTATTCTATGGGAAGTTTGATGTTCGATTGATCTGATTCATAAGGGTAACATCAAGAAACTGGTACACTCTGACATTCATACTCTAGCATGAAAAGCGATTCCCTAATCGAATAGTGATAATACGTTGAATGCTCCATTGACCGGTTTTATTCTAATGCCTCAAATTTTTGTATTGAGTGAACAAACCAGGGCTTCTTTTTTGACAGGGCTTCTATTTTGACAGGGCTTCAAGACGTCAAATTATTGTACACGCAAAACCCACCTCTTTACCGAAATGCACCCACGCACTTTATAAACCGCTCAAGTCCACCAATTTGTGTGCTCCAGTTGATTCTTGCAACAAATAAATCTTAAAAGGGTGCATCTTTGATATGTTGAAATAAAGGCCCCTTCTCATAAAACACACGATAAAAACGATGAAGAGCCCTGAAGTGCCTGGTTTGCCAAGGGCTGGGCACTGTCTTGTTTGACGTCTTCTGGACCTACTTCTTATAGTCAGTACGAATGAAAAATGGTCCCGATTACTCGTGCTTTGAGACTTACACTTGAAGACATAATTTAGGTTTCATTCCTGGAAAGACAATCTTTTTAAAGTTTGAGCAATACCAGTCATGATGGTAACTCTCCTTTTCAAAATCCTAAACTCAACCTCCTCCACAAAACTAAAACGGCTATCATAAAAACTAAAAAGGCTCATAACACAAGCGAGACTGGAAATTCCGTGGGGCATAACGAACCCTCCTTGGCTCAAATGAAATCCGTATCTCGGTGGTATCCATTTCATCGGGCTCATATATATTGTCTAGATTTCAGTGAAACAAAAAGCTCACCAAAATGACTCCAACCAATTTTGCAGCTCCTTCGCTGTACACCGCTACACCTTCTGTGGGTCCTGAGATTGTCCATTATGCGTACCCTTGTGGTGATACTACTTTGATTCTTGAGGACCAGCTTGACTGGAAAAGTGCTGAGAGAATTTTCGACTGTGCCCAGAGAGACATTGACGAGGTCATTACCAACGGAGCGACCAGGGCTGGCATGTTTCAGATGTTATTGGTCGGTACGCTTTTGCTTAATTTGGCAATTTTGATGTGATCTATTGACCTCCTGTTGTGAACTCTATATACTTTAATCAATTTTTTTCCTATTCCAATGTAACAAACCTTAGTTCTTTTGATTTTGTCAATTTAGTTTTATGGAAGTATGGATCAGTATCTATCTATGACGCAGGACTCTAAAATCTGGGGTCAGACCATCGCATAGATCTGGAAAGTACCGCCATCAAATTGTACGCTTTGATTAATTGAGCTCAATATGTATGTCTAACCATCAATTAAACATTTCTCTTCTCCTCCCAATTTTTTGAAATAATTTTTTCAAACTTAGTACGGTCGATTTTCGGCATTCTCTTCATCGGTCGCCATCACCCTGTGACTTGGGCTCCTAACACAGCACACAGAAAAAACAGCTTGTGATTCCCAAATCCCACAATAAACTAATAAATCAAAAACCTTTCAGTGTCAAAAAATCCCTGCTTTCGTTCTCCTCCCCCAACTAAACAACGGAATTCTCAATCACCTCGAAACTGAACCCCATATGCGTAAGAGCCCTTTCATGGCTTGGCGAAACCCTCGAAGGTGGAATTTTGCACAGACACCAAATTGCATTAACGTTAGCAGAAAGTATGCTGGCTTCTCCGACCCGGAAACAAGCCCTAGGGTTATGCAACTATCCAGGAATCCACAGGACAATGTTTAGCCTATTATGTTGAAAGTCTTGCAGCCAAGATGCCCGGGTATCGGAAGGATCCGTTTCTATAAGACCCATGATTTACTAGACCATCCAGACTTACCCAAAATTCACCATGTCGAACACTGACGCATCCTCCTTGTCTGAATTACAAGCCTCGTACTGTGGATCTTCATCTTACACAGAATACACAAGCCTCGACTGGGATGCTGCAAATCAGCTTTTTCAATGTGCAAGAAACCAGTCTTTTGAGAAGGCAAAGCTTGGAAACGCAGCTTCAGGAAATGGAGTCAGCCTGGTGCAGGTGATGTTGTTGATCTCCACTCTTTCTTTGAGTGTGGTTTTGTTCTGGCTCTAGGTCTGTTTGCAGTGTATAGTTTTAATTAAAATTATCGACCATTTTGTGTAGATCCGTGAAGCTTGAGTGGGTTGTGGAGTAGTGGTTCTCGCAGTGAGCCAGTCCGACCCATTGTAGTTTTGGGCAAATACTGGCAATTGGTATGAAAATTGGAATTAGAGATTGGTGCAACTCTAAATGCTTCCTCTATGTCTTCAACACCCGTCTATATCTGGAACTTGGAGTCATGGTCTCACGATAGTGGCACAACCTTCAACAGTGCAATTTCTGCAAACGTCAAGTATGCTTCTAGGGTACCCAAGAAGGGCCTCAGAGCTTAGTTTTTACACCCACAATTATATTTTAGCTTTTATCAGCCCCGTTTTTTTTTTTTTTTTTTTTTGTATATTTATTTGCCTTTGATCATACTACTATACCTAGTAACTGCGAGAGCTAGTCTAACTTCCACTACCGTCTCTACAATTTCGTCCATCCTCGTAGTCTCATAGTTCAATTGAAACAGCCTTCAAAACTCCTCTTTTCTCTTCCCTTTCTTCTTCCTTCTTTGACACTAAATGGCCTTGTGATATTTGAAGCATCGCATGACCTCTGAGACTGATAACTTGAAGACATGCTGTGGCTCGAGGGTTCCCAAAGCTCAAACAGACTGAAGAGAACAGGAAAATAGAATGAAGCAAAAAGTAATTTTGTGACTCCAGAGAATCTACGACATAGAAGATCGCATTACCAACCACAGGGTTCACTTGGCATTGAAGTTCTTTCATGGTATACTATCAACCAACAACGGTGCCCATGCTGGATAAACAACTCCCAATTACACTGGACCATCAAGGAGACATTTACTATCAAGCCTCAAGTTACCCATAACAAACGGATAAGAGTGGCATGGATAGAACGTGGTAACACCACGCAAACCAGCCACATCTCACAGTCCCAGGGGACCCACCACGGTGCCAATTACGCTGTATCCCCTAATTTCATCAACCAATGAAACAGCCAAGTCCAACAGGCCGCCTGTTTGTCTTCCAGACCCACCCTGCTCGACCATGATCGACCTCACCAAGACGCAATTGAAGGGAATGCGTTTCCAGAGCCAGTGCGCAAACGACAAGGTACGTAGTTTCATGAAAAGGAGCAAAGCAGCGAAAAAGGAGCAAAACAGCGGTTAATCCTTCCACGGACAATCACTCTATAGATTTCCCATCTCAAGTGCCAGGCAATAGGAGATTCACCAAACGTCGCTCTCACCATTGGTGCTTTCAACGGTCTCGTCACCGACTCCGCAAAATCGAATCAACGGAGCCGATCAGAAATTACGTAATCCACAATGGAAGCTGCTGAATTCGTCCAAAAACACCGCCCGTTAGCCGTTTTCTCGACCATGCCGTCTGACGCAGGGACGGTTTCTGAGCATTCGACGACATACATACCTCCAGCCCAGCAGCGCAAACCACCCACCCAGCAGCGAAAAAACCCCGATTCACAAAAAAAAAAAAAAAAAACCAGCCTTCCGTAGTCCACCACCTCATCAAAAATCAGTAAATTACATTTTTTAGTGAAACCCACCCACCCCGCCCGACCTCCCCCGGGCCGACGGAGAACTCCCCAGAAGTCCGAAAACGTCACTCCACGCCACCACGCCAACGCCATACGTCAAAGCGAAAAAAATAACGCATACCACCTTCCACCTCGCCGCGTCAGGTCCCGGGCCTTTTTTGCGCCCCGCCTTTATCCCCGGCTGCCCCTCGCCAAATGCCCCCCAGGTATCGTGACTTGATGACTCAAAACGCCTTTTTACTCCTCCATGCTGCTGCTGCCCATGAACATCCACACAAAACATGCCTCTGCTGATTTCTGCCTCTGAGCCGTCGCTCGACCTGGCCTCGCTTCGCCTGGAGCATGCGGCTAGAGCTCTCCAGCGGGACCTGGACGACCTTGAACAGGCGAAAAGTGGTGCCAGTGACGGTGGGCCTCTGGGAGACGAAAAGGTCGCTAGTGGCGCCCGCCGGGGGCTTTTGGCCCAGATTACGCTTATAGCGGAGATTGAAGATGCCCGGTGCTACGGCCGTGGCATCAAATATGTGCTTCTTTTCATCGTGGTGCTTGCGTGCTTTCTGGGACCCATGGGCACGTCCATTTTGTATCCGGCGTCGCCTGACGTGGCCCAGAGCTTGGGGACGTCCGAGAGTGTGGTGAACATCTCCGTCGGAACGTACATTTTGTCCCTTGGTATCTTCCCGCTCTGGTGGCTGAACTTCTCTGAACGACACGGCCGAAGGACCATATACATCATCTCGTTCACGTGGTTTTTGGCCTTTTGCATCGGCTCTGCTTTGGCGCCGTCCATCGGCGTGCTTATAGCGCTTCGGTTCTTGTCGGGAGCTGGTGCTTCGTCCGTTCAAGCTTGTGGTGCCGCTACTGTGGCCGACTTGTACGTCCAGGAAGAACGGGGTTTTGCGCTAGGCCTTTTCTACCTCGGCAACCTCGTTTCGATCTTTTTGGCGCCCGTCATTGGCGGTGCCGTTTCCGAGGCCTGGGGCTGGAGAGCCACCATGTGGGTCATGGTCATTGCGTGTGGCCTTATTCTCGTTTTGGTGGTTTTTCTCTTGCCAGAAACGCTCAGAAAGGACGACAATATGACGCTTGTCATGCAGCGGCTCCAGGAGCAGCTCGAGGCCAACAACGAGAAGGACCCCGCCGCTATCGGTGCCGTTTTGACCCGGGAACGCTCGATCCACCTGATGTCTGGTGCTGACGTTTCTATAGCGCCGGAAAGGTACCTCACCAACAACTCAGAGCACTCTGCACGGCTCCAGGAACTCGCCAAACAGGCCTCCTTGGTGGAAACCCACGCCAGCTGGTCCACACAGCTCTATGACTACTTGATTCGGCCGCTTCACTCGGTGGTGCTTTTGGGCTACCCGCCGGCGCTCTTGTCGATCATGTACTCGTCCATTCTTTTCGGCGGCATGTACTTTTTCAATGCCTCCTTGACGTACGGGTACAGCAGGGACCCGTACAACTATAGCCTGGTGGTGGTGGGTCTCATGTACATTCCGATGTCGGTGACGTACGTGATAGCGTCGCTTTTTGGCGGGAAATGGCACGATAAGCGCCTCAAGCGGTATGCGGCAATGCACGATGGAGATTTGGCGGGAGAAGCCAGGATCTCGTGGAACTGCGTTATCGGCGTCATTGGCTATCCGATCTCCTGCCTCATTTTCGGCTGGTGTATCCACTATGGAGAGCACTGGGTGACGCCACTCGTGGGAACGGCGCTTTTCGGCTTCTCCTATATGCTTTTAGTGGGTGTCACCTTCACGTATGTGGTGGACGTGCTTCCAGGCAAGGGAGCCACGGGCGTAGCTCTCAACAACTTGGTGCGTCAGGTTCTCGCTGCCATCGCGACGTTTGTCACTGTGCCTCTCACCGAAGCTCTCGGAACAGGCGTATTGTTCTCCATCATCGCCGGAGTGATCTCTGTGTGTGGACTCATGCTTCTCTATCTCAAGCTCCGTGGACGGCAGCTCCGCCAGAGCTATAACATCGCCGACTTTTACCGCCGGCTTTAGACACCCCACTTATTTATTCAAACTCATTCATCATGACATCTGCTCGTCTATTCTCTTTAGACCTCTCTCTAGATGCATGCACGCTGCACCCCGGCTTTGACGTATTATTATGCACTTAGATTAGCATGTGTGGCTGCGAACCACAGTTCGGCCCCCGGATCACCTCATTATTACACAAACCAAGGTATATAGATAAGCGAGGCCAATGTATGAAAATTTTCATCCCACCCGTTTCTCATGCCCTCGACCGTAGTGCCTGATTTTCTCCAGGACTTGCATACTCCAGTAGCGGTACCCGATGGTCAGATCAAACGAATCGCCATCATTGGCGGAGGAGCCTCGGGCGCTATAGCCTTGGACACCTTGGTCAAGGAGCAAAAGTTTGACGAGATCGTGCTTTTCGAAAGAAGAGACACGTACGGCGGGATTTGGGTGCTTGACGAAAGCCCCAATGCAGCCCATGAGCTTATCAAGGCTGGAGCTCTGACAGAGGTGCTTGATCCGCCATTGCAGAATCCTTTTAACGAGGAGCCACTCGGAAGCGCCAAAATACGCCGTTTTTCCGAAAACCAGGAGCGTTTCGTCCACACGCCCTGCTACAACGGCATGCTCACCAACATCATCGAGAACATGATGACGTACAGCGACGAAAAGGCGTGGTTGCCGGGCCAACAGAAGAAGTACGCGGACCGGGGCGACGTCAGAAACTATATCGACCGGTACATCGGCCGTCATCTGCAGAATTCCACCGTCAAGCTTGTCACCAACACCGCAGTGGAGGATGTGCAGCGAGTCTTGAACCAGGACAAGCAGATCCCGTACGAGTTTTTGCTCACGTTGCGCCATCTGCTCCAGGACAGCACCGAGGAGTGGTACCAGGAGAAATTCGACGCTGTGGTGGTTGCCACGGGACACTACCATGTACCGTTTATTCCAGCCACACCAGGTCTTGAAAAAGTGCAAGAACAATGGCCCAGCGTCGTCCAGCACGCCAAGTACTACCGTAACCTGGCGCCTTATAAAGACAAGACGGTCGTGGTGGTGGGTGCCAGAGCGCTGGGTGCCGATTTGACAAAATACGCTGCAGACACCGCTTCCAAGGTGTACCAGCTGATTCGAGAAGTGACGATGCAGCAGCGCAAGACGAGGCGGCCCAATGTGGAGATCAAGCCCGGAATCCGTGGAATCGAGCTCAAAGACGGCGGTTTTTCCGTGGTTTTCGAGGACGGCTCCGAGGTGCAAAACCCAGACCACATCGTCTACGCCACAGGCTACCAGTTTCTGTTCCCCTTTCTCCGGCGAGAATACGGCGACATTGCCCGCAACGGCTTGGTGTTGCCCTCGTTGTACCAGCACACTTTCTTCATCAACGAGCCGCTTTTGGTCATTTTGGGTGTACCCACCGACGCCATTTCGTTCCGGGCTTTCGAGTACCAGGCTATTTTGGCCGCCCGCTACCTTGCCAGCAGAGTCAGCTTGCCTGAAAGAAAAGAACAGCTTCTGTGGGCGGAAAAACGGCTCCAGGAGAAAGGAGAACGCAGAGCATACCACACCATCGGAGCCACAGATGCTCTTGAGTATATGAGAACTCTCACGGCTCTAGGCACTTTGAAAGGGCAGGAGCCCGTGGGAAGAGAGTTCCCGGAAATCACCGAGGCGGAAGTCCAGGAGTATGCTGAGGCAGGAGCCAAGCTCAGGGAAGCATGGGACATGCCTCGCGGTTAGTAGAATCAGGGTTAGTAGGGTCTACAGTAAGTCATCATACCAGTGTATATCAACCAAGTGTTTATTAACTCCGTGTCGTCGTTTCTGCAATGGCAGCGCTAGATTCGTGTAATCGTCCCATTATCTTTGTACAAGTCGCCAGCACTCCGGCTCAGTTTCTGCCTTTCCCGGCTCAGTGGTGCTTCTTCAAAGGCTCAACAACGAGCTTGTCCAACGTGAACATCTGCGAGATCGTCGACTGTCTCTCCAACATGGCCAACTCGTTGATCGCCTCGTTGTAGAAGGAGGTGATCTCCTCCTCCTTGGTCACGTTCTTGTTCGCCTTGAACGAGTCGTGGATTCTGCGCTTGGCGTGTTCTCTGAAGTTGTAGTTGTCGAACTTGTACGCCTTCTCTAGCATCTTCTTGTAGAGGCCAAGTACCTGTCTTGAATTTGGCGCCATGATATGTAAGTCTAGTTGAGGAGAATCAAGTTAGTCAGCGATAAAGTCTTTCTCACTTTTGGCCTGCGAAAGACTGAGCGCACGCTGTATGCAGGCCACACCGCTTGCTTCATACTATTTCGCAGCCAATTTCAAGCAAGAAGCTCACTTCTTCTCAGGCAGCTCCTCCTCCGGGTCGTAATGCTGGAAGTACTGCTCAAAGTCTCTCTCGCTCATGTTGGCGTGCTGGCCACGTGACTTCTTGGCGGAGGCGTCGGCCATCATCTCCTCGAAAATCTGGGCCTCCTCGTCCTCCTCGGGAGTTCTCTCCGTCTGCAACATCTGTTTGGCAATGAAAAGCACCGCCTCGGCACGTGCCACACGCTCCTTCTTGGGGAGGCTCTTGTCGTTCAAAACACGGTGGGAGACCTTGTTCAAAACGCCCGTGAGCTCAAACTTCGTAGAGGCCCATGCCGTCTTCAAAAACTTGCCGGTCATGATTCTCTCCTGCTCCATACGCTTGTACTTGTCCTCGTCGGTGAGCTCGACGCCTGCCTGCTCCAACTTGGCCTGTTCCTGGACCATTTCCTCGGCAGAAGCCTGAGCGTCAAGAGCCGTCTTGATGATCGAGAAACCCGACTTCATTCTGTTGGTTTTGGTCTTCATGGACGTGTAGATCTTGGTGATGCCAAACGTCTTGGAAGCCGAAATCGTGGCCTTGGCCTGCGCCGTGTAGGTCTTACCGATCAAGTGCAAAAGCTGGATACCAAAGGACTCCACCTTCAAGTCCTCGAGCTCCTCTCGAAGCTTGGACGTGTACTGTCTCAAGGCGTCCTCGTTTCCAGCCGCCACCCTGTACTTCTCAATTCTGTTCAACAAGTTCTCGGACAACTCGGAAACACGCTTCTCCTTGGCCTCCTGCGACTCCTTGTAGAACTGCTCGAGCTTCTCACGCTGCTCCTTTCTGAGCTTGGCCTTGTGCTTCTTCTTCTGCTCTATCTCGTTGTTCAACTCGGTGTAGCGGCCCTCGCCAGTATGAGCCCCTACAGCCAGATCCTGCTGTTTCTCATTGACAGACAAATCTTGCATTTTCTGGCCTGCTTCCTCGGCCTGCTTCTCTGTCTCCTCGGTCTCCTCCTCGCCTTCGCCCATAATGTCGGCTGTTTTGGCCATGTCGTTCAACATGGACAATTCGCCAATCCAGTCCTTGAAACTGTCGCCTCCAAAGATCATCTTGAAGAACTCAGCAGGATCAATGTCGGCAGCCTCGGCACCGGCCTTGGTCTCCTTCATGCCTTCAACTCCCAATTCATCATAAGCAGCTCTCAGGTCGGGATTCTGCAAAATGCCATACGCTTCGCCCAATTCTTGAAACTTGGCTGCTGCTTCAGGATCGTTGCCATTCTTGTCAGGATGGAGCTTGATGGCCTGTTTCCTGTATGCCTTCTTCAATTCGACCTCTGTGGCGGTCACCTCGACGCCCAAAATGTCGTAGTACTGTGTGTCTTTGACCATTGCTGAAAGAAGAGTGCTTGTTGCTTGACGCTGAAGATGCTACACATATAGTGCTGATGTGCGCACGTGATTCAACGTGGCTGCCAAGGCACCATTGTATTTTTATTTTGTTTTGGTGGAGGATATTGTTGGTTGACGGTGATAGCGGCACGGAATTGGCCTGATTGGGGTGTTTGGGGTGTGTTCAGTGGGTTTTTGAAGAGGTGGGTATGTGCGATGAGCAATGAAGAGGGGGTCTATTGGGTAGATATTCTAAAGGGAGAGTGTGATTCAATTTTTTTTATATAATTAGTTTAGAAGTTGAGTTGTGCTATACTTTCGAAAACTCTGGCTCCTTGTTCAACTGACCCTCCACTGGGTGGATCTAAATGCTGTACCTCGGCTAGATGCATCTGAAACATGGCTGCGAAATGGCGTGTTTCCGTGGGGCTGATTGCGGTGATGTGGTTTGGCGGTGATTTTGGAAAAATTGGCTTCTACAGGAAATCGGGGCTAATTGGGAAAAATGACCGTATTGGTGTAGACTGGTTGGTGTTCCGAATATCCCGGTAGGCTCGTATGGATATGGTGTTTCGCATTTGGATGGTTTGAGATAGGTCAGACAAGTGGCTGTTTGACGAAATTCGATTAAGGCATAGTGGAAAGTTCGTTCTAATAAACGAGAAGGGAAGAGTAGAGACGGTTTCTGGTATTGTTGGGACTTTTAGTGTGACGATTGTGGACCCATATATAATTGCGATTCTAGTGAGAGCATGTTAGACAAGTGGGTTATTGATATGGGCTATAAAGTCGAAATGTGAATTCATTCAAAAATCTAAAAGTGAAGCAAATAGCTCGGGTGAATTTTTCAAATCCCTCTTCTGTCGTGTGCATCTAAAAGTCATTCAGTTCCTCAATATCCATTGTGCTGCTTATCTTTGCTCAGATGCACAGCGTATATTTGTAATCCCATCTCGGCCCATTCCCCTTCAGACCCACATTTGCTTAAAGGAGATCAATGACCCTAGCGTTTTGGAATTGTCAACATTTCTCAAGGTTTATCCGGATTTTGGCTTATCAATCTTTGAGACCTAGGCTCGAGGCTCTAGGCTCTAAGTTCCTTACAAATACTCTCAAATTCTCCATGACATTCTTCAAACCTATAAATCTGATCAAATTGTAAATATCCCAAATCAGTTAATCTAGATCAGCAAAATCGGTGAATCTCAATCACCCTCTACATGCTCTTCCTTGAACCTTCCTCACCTTCACCACAAGCACTTCACCAACCATCCAGTACATCACCATTCTACCCAAATTTCACATTCTTTCTTTCTTCCTCCTTCAATTCCACCTCGCCTGAGTCACACTTCGTCAATGACCTGCTTTCATTTTGCACGGCATTCATTGGCTTCTCGGAGAGGGGCACTAGATTCCCGCCCCACATTACAATGGAGCGATCGTTTCGGAGCCGACGCTCGCACTTCCCTGCCCCACCTGAAAAATTCACCGAAACGGTGATTTAGAGAATTTAAAAATACCATTTTGATCCGGGGGCCTCCGTGATTTCAAATATGGTATTAATTTTTTCCGATTCTCTCTATACAGCCCGCTTTGCCCTCCCTCTAACTCAAACCACGCTCGGCTATACCACGCGCATCACCGAGCATACTCCGAACTCCACCATCAACGCAACTCAGGGAAATATATATACTCCTTGTTTTCCCGTGTGGCTTGCTGGTCAAGCAAAATGTCAAACATCAAGGATTTGCCAAATCATGAATCCTCAAACCACGAGAGGTGTTCCAGCGAAGAACCCTCGGAGAAGATGCCTCTCAAGAGAGACCTCGAAGACAGACTCGGCAATTCTCACGTCAACCTCCTTCCCAGAAAGAAACTTGTGATTTGCCTACTAGTGAACGCTTTCTGCTTGTTTGTGTGCTTTTTGGACCAGACCTCCCCCACGGTGGCTCTTCCAGCGATCGCCAGTGACTTAGGAGCTGAAAATTCCATCAACTGGGCTGGTACCTCGTCGCTTTTGGCCAACTGTGTTTGCCAGGTGTTATTCGGCCGTTTTGCCGACATCTTCGGCAGAAAAAACATGCTCATGGGCTCCCTCGGGATGCTTCTTGTGGCCAATATGCTCTGTGGATTTGCACAAACGGGACCCCAGTACTACGTATTTCGTGCTTTTGCAGGTATTGGCGTTGGCGGAACGCAGTCCATGGGAATGGTGATTTTGAGTGACGTGGTGACGCTCAAACAGAGGGGCAAGTTTCAAGGAATCATGGGAAGTGCTGTGGGTATTGGAAACGCCGTGGGTCCTATCATCATGGCGCTTTATGTGGAGCACTCCACCTGGAGAAACTTCTACAGAACGCTTCCCCCAATCATGTTTGTTGTGCTTGTCATTGTGTACTTTGTCACCGAGGACAACAGAAAGGGTCAGCTGGTGCTCTCCATGAGAGAGAAGTGGAAGAAAATCGACTATATTGGGATTTTTTTTGCAACCGCCGGCTTGACGCTTCTTTTGATCCCCATCAGCGGAGGAGGCTCCACATACGCCTGGGATAGCGACTTGGTGATTGCCATGTTCGTCGTTGGCGGAGTGTGCTGCATTGTGTTCCTCATCGTGGAGTGGAAGGTGCCCGAATTGCCCATGATCCCGGTGTACATCTTCAAAAACTGGTCCTTGAGCGTCTTGCTCTTGTCCACCTTCTTGTACGGCATTGCGTACTTTGGCTTCTTGTTCATCGTCTCCTACTACTTCCAGTTGGTCATGGGCCAGGACGCCTTGCACTCGGCCTACTACTTGCTTCCCTTGGTGCTCATGCAAGCCATCATGTCCATCACCGCTGGAACCATCATATCCTATTCTGGCCACTGGATCCACGTTTTGATTGGCGGATACCTGTTCTGGCTTACAGGAGCCGGCATGACGATAGCATGGAAGGAAAACACAGGCAGCGGCATGATTATCGGCTCTCTTTTAGTCATGGGCGTCGGTGTGGGTTTCATTTTCCAGCCCACCATGGTTGCAGTCCAGGCCAATGCCACTATGGCGCAAAGAGCCGTTGTTATCGGCACCAGAAACGTCTTGAGAGCTTTTGGAGGTGCTTTGGGCGTTGCCTGTGCCACCTTGATCATCTCCAATTCGTTGATCAACGAAATTAACCTGGAGCTCGGCAGTCTGAATGTGCCTAGTCTGTTTTTGATCAACTTGAAGGCGAACATTTACACCAAGGCCGATCTTAGCGGGCTCACGGAAGCTCAGAAGGACACCGTCAGGAGCATGTACATGACGTCGATCAGAAACGTTTTTTACTTCACGATTCCCTTGCTTGCCATTTGTCTCATTCTACTGTGTTTGGTCAAGGACAGAGGCCTCCAGTGTCTTGACCAGCAGCCGGAAAAGAAGAAGGACAAGGAAGCCGAGTCGGTCACCGAAAAGAAGGAGTAATCATCAGAAGAACTCAAAGATTAATAGAAACTCCCTGGAGTACCCATGCATCGAATAAATATACACATTTCAGAAACGCCCGGGCAACCTCGGGTCTAGTGGTTGCGGTTGTTGAAGAGGGCGTTGAGCTGCTGGAAGCCGTCCTCGCCAATAGCGTCGTTGAGAACGTTTTTGAACTGGTCGTAGGTTTCGCCGTATTCGTATGAATCGTCAATCAGAAAACTGCTTCCTTCGAAAAAGTCCCTGGCGCCGTGCAAAAACTCAAATCTGTCGTCGTCCATCAAATTGTAAGCATACTGCTTGAACAGGAAATCAGACGCCTCGGCCTGGCTGGTGAAAAGCTCCTTGAGGAAGTAGATATCCTTGGTGAAGAACCTGTTGAAGCCACGCACGTACACAGCAGCAAGCACGGTCAAAAAGAGCATGATCACAGTGAACTTTATCATGGCGACCATCATGTTCAACCAGAAACGCACGATTCTTCGGATCATCTTGTAGAAGATGTACAATGTCAACACCGAGAGCACAAGGGTGGAGGCGTTTGGATAGTTGACAAAAGCATAGCCGGTGGCAACGATGATGTTGCTTAAAACAAAGGCTATTATGTCGAGAAGCCGCAGTCCAGCGTATTCAAGCGTATCGTAGATGGTCAAGCTCATGGTGATGGAGTAGTTGAAATGTGGAGACTGCCTATCTGGGTAATCGGTCTGGTCGTGTGATAGTCACGTGGGAGGTGGCGGTAATACCATGGATTTATGTTATTTGGGAGATTTAAAGAGGAGTTTTGTTGTGGGTTTGGATGTGTAGGTTTTGTTGTGTGGGTTTCGTTATTGGGCTGCTTTTCTGGTTGGGTGGTGTGTAATGTATGTGTGTTAAGGTGCCTAAAGACTCTCAGTTTGGTCCACATATATTGGTCGGTAAAATTCGTAGATACTTTCCATATACCGTTTTCATTTCTCTTAAATTCCGATTAAAGGTTAAAAAAATCATAGCATTGTGAAATCGCTGACTTAAGCAATTTTGATGTAGTGGTACTCTCCAGAAGTTGTGCGGTGAAGATGTAGTAATATTCAAAAACTTACTTGAGTGCTTGAAATTCAATAGTATCTTAATTCTGATCGATAAAGCTCCGAATCTACATAGCGAGTTCGTCTGTGAAACGTCTCGCTCTATAAACCCAAGACATGGCGTACTCGTTACATTGGTTAATGTAATTACACATGTCGACTCAACTTTATAAAAACTACAGAAAAAGATGGTAAACAAATAATGATAGGCTAACAATGTACAAAAATTCTACATAATTCACCATTTTGTCTACTTTTCGAGATATTCCCTGCAACTCGTATATTCACCATCTTGACCACTCTGGTAATGGCTGCGAAAAAGACCTACCACCCAAGATAGCACCAAAAACCCACCAAAACTAAAATTTCTCCGGAAACCAAAATAACCCCTTCTTCTCCACCATTCCTCTACCTCCTCTCGAATCTTCCCTGCCCTTCTTCCAAAAAAATAAAGTACCCTCTAAATGACTCTCTCCTCGCCCTGGTGATGATCCATGACTACTCCTACCAACACGGCAACTCCAGCCTCCCTCCACCATCTACACCTTCCAAAAACCAAAACTCCCCTTTTTCCACCTTCCCCTCTCGCCCTCCACCACCACGCCTGACCCACCGCATCATCCACCACCTTCCACGAACCACCACCCCAATGGGCAACTCCAACATCGCCAAAACAACATAAATACGGGCCCTCCCCCGACCGATTTTTCTTCTCCATCCCACCACATCACAATGCTTTTTTCTCGCCACCACGCAGCCTCCCCAAGCTTCTTCGACAAGTTGCAAACTGCTCACAGACTCCGCGAGAGAGGTCTCCCTTCGGAGCCTCCAGCCAACCCTTCCTTCTTCAGGAAGATCAAAAATGCTTTTAAATCGACCGCACAAAAATTCTATTTGTCTCTGCGTTTCTCCTTTCCCCATCGTTGGGGTTCCAGACGCAGATACTCCAGAATGTCCAGAAACGAGAAGATGCCCATGCAGCAAAACGCTGGAACAGAGCCTGCTGCCGTCCAGTTTGTGTCTCTTACGCTTCATCCAGACGACGGCCTTTTGGAGAAGTTCTATGTGGACTCTGCCCACAGCCCCGGTGCTGCAGTTTCCCAAAACGACGAGGACCTCGTTCAACCAGCTTCCGGCGTGACCCTGGAAAATTTCCACTTTTCCCACGTTTCAGGAAATTTGAAAAAATGCTTCACCGCCTTGTCCCGGTCTCGGAGCCTTCCTGGCGCCAGAACCAGCAGGACCCTTCTCGCATTGGATGCCTTGAGGAACCTCATTACTGGAAAGCCCACGGGCCTCACCATCTGGCCAAATTTCCCCAGAAGCACTTACAAAATTTTTGCTTTCCACTTGGCCAGAGTCGCTTCCCAGCAAACGGCCTCTAGTGCTGTGGTTCCGCTCAGAAACCAGAACCCATCCACACCAGCTCTTCTGGATACCACACCAGTTCTTCTGGTCACCCCCGAGCCAGGCATCGACGTCGATCTTTCCGAATTGACCGCCTTGGCCTCCAAAAAAATAAGACCGCTTGTGGGCGTCGGCGATATGGAGTACACTGCCAGAACCCGGGAGTTCGTGAGACAGCACCCCAAGGCCTTGGCTGCAAACTCCCAGGTCTCCCGGGTCTCCTTCGCTGAGACACCTGAAATTATTGTTTTTAATTCAGACGACGCTCCAGCGGCTCTCGGCACTTCACCACCCAAACGCCCTAAGGTGGTCCAGAGTATCCTTTCACACAAGCTCAAGCTGGATCCTCCTCAGCACACTTCCCCCACCGAAGACAACGAGTTCTTCAACTACGCTGAGGCCAACGCCAGGCTTGATGCTTTGCTCAAGGACACTAAATTCCCCGCTGTCAATACGCAAAAGTACAAGGCAGACGTCAGCAGAGCCTTGGGCCAGTTTGGCGAGGCGTTCCGTTTCCTCACCAACTCCTTCACCCAGCCGGTAATGAACGATTATCTTGCTTATTTCCAGCAATATCTCAGCATCGGCGGCGAAATCAGCCGTCATTTGGCGGTAGCAAAAGGTATGGCTGCGGAGTTGGACTCTTTGAGTCTGGAGCTCACCGAAGGCTACCTTCCCTTGAGCCAGAACCTCCGTCTTTTCGACTTTGGCAAGCGCCTTTATGCTCTTGATGCCGCCGAAGAAGATGTCAGACAGCTCATTGACTCTTTAGCTCTGACCTTCAAGGTCAACCTGGACAAGTTCCAGTCTGAGCTGAAGCAGATGGAGTACTTCGTCAAGAAGATCAGCTCCGCCTTCACCCAGTTTTTGAGAAGACACTGTCGTTCTTTGGACGCCGAGGGCCGCAAGAACCTCTCGATGCAATTGGGCCGTGACGAGTTTATGGAGAGGGTCTTCTGCTTCAGGAACTTGAACATGGACTCCGCCAAGACCGAGCTCGGCCGCCACTACGGAGACTTGACCAATGCCTTTAGCCACCAGGAGGAGCTTCTTTACCTGGTGAAGGTGGCCTTCATCGAGCTCTACGAGCACACCCAGCCAAAGTAGGGTGGTCGAAGGAGAAAAAAAAAGAATATATAAAAAACTAAAAAAGTTAAAAAAAAAAAACTAAAAAGATAAAAAAAATAGAAAAAAATAAATAAAATTGGAAGAGCGATGTAGAGGGAGATTGATAAAGAGGAGTTGGGTTGGTTTAGGCAGATGGTATGGGAACGCTGTTTGGTGATGGTGTAGGTGGAGTATAGTGTTGGTAGTTTGCGGCCATTATGGTGGTACACAATAGCACTACTTGGGGTACTGGAGAGGACTTGTTTCTTCATTGATGTTGTATTACACTTCAATCGGAGTGTGGTTTTTATTTTTTTTTTTTTTTTTTATGTCGTTTCACTTGACAGAGTAAAAACCATTGAATGTGTTACTTTCCATTTCCACGGCTCTACCATCCTAAAGCACGATACTTCTGAAACCCCCGCCAGCTTTCTTCCATGATATTTAGACTTTTCAATCGCTGACCCCACCTTTCATCTCATCTCCAAAATCGCTCTTCATTGTCGAAAAACTTGTCATTGTTGCATCCACAACCCACCTTGGTTTCTGACTTTTCGCGTACTTAGCCGAGATCCAACAATAGCTGTCAAAATAGAGTTCCCCCCAAAAATCGAAATCCCCAAAAAATTGGCTAAAAGCAATATTTTTAGATTCCTCAAAACGTAATTGACCCTGACGCTTTGTCCCACGGCTCTACCAGCCCTCCTTCCTTCAAAAACGGTACTGTAGCTTTCACACCACCAACCATCCCACAACCATCCAATAAACCCACCCAAAATACCCCCAAACCCCAAATCTACAAACTAAACCACATCAAAAAACCACAAAAACCAACCCACCTAAATCAAAAGCAAATCCAACCTTAACTACCACCCCAGCCCTCACCCTGGGTTACCCGCCCTACACACACGCACATATATAACCAGCCATCGCGCCCACTTTTTTTGCTCTTCAGAAAGTTGACACCGGGCTTTTGCAGAATTACGGCTAGTTGCACGCCCAGACCTCGGCGTCCTCCTCCACTCGCCCAGCCTCGGCTGGAAGCTCGTGACGCCTGTGTTTCGCCTATTCACTTAGGGAGGCACGCTATAGGCCCACTTGTCAGAGAGGAAGCGGGCGCCTTGGCCATGGGCAATGTGCTTGTAGTTGAAACTGTCCGGTCAGAAGAACGTGGTTATACAGAATATGCGGCGGGTTGGAAACCGCCGTGTATCCCGTTATATCACTACATTTTATGTGTGGCACGGCTGACTGTCGTACGACGTGCTGCCATGCACATGTGGCCCTGCTATCTGGGCCGCCGCTTTGGCCTCATAGCCGTGGCGGGCCCCCCTCTTGCATCGCTTGAATTCCTTGTCCAGCAGACTTCCGTCCAAGACACCTCTACCTCATCTCTTGCTCTCAGCCTCGGCTGTTTTTCTTGTCGCTCGTGTGCCTCCAGGCGTCGGACGAGCAATACCTACCGCCCAAAGCAGCTGCAAAGGAAAAAAAACAACAAAACCCCTTTCCCACATCACACTTCTCAAATCACCACAAACTCCCCATTGCCTCCCTCCCAGCAACCATCTGGTCCACCGTTGGAACACAACTCCGGCACATAGCGTGCTTCCATACATTCACTACACTCCTCGCCAGAAATAGCTATCCATCTGTACCACCCCCAGCTCCTGGGCCATCCTCCACCCGTCCGTAGCATTGTCAGCATTCCTCCAAAAACCCACTCCTTTACCATCCATTGCATATGTTCCTGAGAAGGAAACCGCCCCAGCTACTGGTTCTCGAGGAGCTTCAGCAAACCTACAACGATGTGTGCAACCTGTCTGTCAAGAACCTCCACTTGGAGGAAACAGGCCACTTTGCCGACGCCCTCAAGGGCTGGAAGTCGCTTCACACGCTGTTGCTCTACAAGATCGACATTTTTGAAAAGTCGTCCAAAATCGGCATGGACGAGCAGACCATTCTTCTGGAGCTCAAGGGCATTAGAGACGAGAACGTCAAACACTTGGTCAGGATCCAGCTCCGCCTAGACGAAGAGAACCGCCGCCGCAAACGCTCCACGGAGCCTGTGGCCCAGCTGCTGCACGGTTCTGGTGCCTCCAACCACAAGATGACCATACCTTCCCTAAGAAACAGCAATCCGTCCAGCCGATCACTCAACAGCAACAACCAGAGGCAGATGATGAAGTCGCTCAGACCGCAGCCGGCGTCGTACAAGCTATCGCAGAAAAACAGAGACACTGTCCAGGCGGCTGTGGCGAAGCTGTGGAGCAAGCCTGCCAAACCACAACCTGCGAAACTGGAAGAGGTGATGTTTGACGACTTTGACCAGACAGAGTACGCTGGCAACGGCAACTGGGAGCGGCTCAACTCCCACGATCTGGCGTCCACGTCCAATGGCCTGTTCAACTCCAACACAAGCAACCTCATTGACTTGGAGGATGAGAACGGCGATGAGCTTCATTTCTTTGATGACGGCCTCAGCAAGCTGGTCAACGACTTGACGTTAAAGAAGCTGCCTCCACCGCCGCCTCCTCCCAGATCCAGACAGGTGTCTGCCAAACCACCCCCAGTACCCACTGAATCTCCTCCTAGACCACTGGCTTCGCTAGACAAGCCTGCAATCACACACAACTCCAAGTCCACCTCCGACGTGCCTGTGGCGGCACCGCCAAAGAAGTACGTTTACCAGCAGCCGGCCCGTATCGACGTCAAGAAGATGATGGCTGCAAGCAGCTCCAAGGCCAAACAATCCCAGGCAAAGACAGCCGCAGCCAAGAGCGCCACGACGAAACCATTGCAAAAGACCCGCTCAGCACCTCCTCAGAAAACCGCTGCCAAGGTCGCCAGACCAGGCCAGAAGAGCTCCAACATCACATACAATTACGTTCCAGCGACGAAACCGGGCACCAAACCAGCGGCTGCAGCTGCTCCTAAAGCCCGGCCTCAAGCTGCCAAAGCTGCCACTGACGACTTGCCCATGTCTCCCACAATGGATGATATTCTTGGTGGTTACGACGACGATGATGAATTTGCTAATGGAGGTGAAACCGATGGCATGAACCCTTCGGAGCAGGAAGCCTTGATCAAGTCGATCAGAGGCATTGACGAAATCGCTGCAAACCAGATCTTGAACGATATTGTCGTGAGAGGTGATGAGGTTTACTGGGACGACATTGTTGGTCTCGAAAGTGCAAAGAACTCACTTAAGGAAGCGGTTGTCTATCCATTCTTGCGTCCGGACTTGTTCCGTGGTCTTCGAGAACCTACAAGAGGTATGCTTCTCTTTGGCCCTCCTGGTACTGGTAAGACAATGCTTGCTAGAGCCGTGGCAACCGAATCGAAGAGTACATTCTTCTCCATCAGCTCATCCTCTTTGACGTCTAAATACCTCGGTGAGAGTGAAAAGCTCGTGAAGGCATTGTTCCTTCTAGCCAGGAAATTGAGTCCCTCCATCGTCTTTATCGATGAAATTGACTCGCTTCTCGGCACAAGAACAGAGGGCGAAGTGGAGAGCATGAGAAGAATCAAGAACGAGTTTTTGGTCCAATGGTCCGAATTGTCATCTGCTGCCGCAGGCAGGGACTCCAGCGCTGGCGATGTGAGTCGAGTGCTTATTTTGGGTGCTACGAACTTGCCATGGGGCATTGATGACGCTGCCAGAAGAAGATTTGCCAAACGTGTGTACATTCCGCTTCCTGAAGACGAAACGAGGAAGTTGCAAATTTCCAAGCTTTTGCAATATCAGAAGCACACGCTTCTGGACGAGGACTTTGAAAAACTTGTTGACCTCACAAAGAGCTTCAGTGGAAGTGATATCACGTTGCTTGCTAAAGACAGTGCCATGGGTCCGCTTCGTTCATTGGGCGATAAGCTTTTGAGCACGCCCACGGAAGAAATCCGTCCTATCCAGCTCTCCGATTTCGTTGAGAGTTTGAAATACATCAGACCGAGTGTCTCGAGCGAGGGTTTAGGCGAATACGAGAAGTGGGCCGCCCAGTTCGGATCCTCGGGAGCATAACCAGGCAAGCACAAGCTACATATGTGCCTTACCTTCATCCATCGAAAGATACTGTTCTTTACATGGAGCCTATCGTATGGATAATGCATTTTTAATAATAATGTATACGCTGTAGTGTGAGCTTAGATGCCGTCGGAGAAGCCGCTAACGACCGATTTTGAAAGACCACCCTCCTTGACGGCCAACTCGTAGTAGCCGTAGATGGTAGTCACACTCATTAAGATGGACGTACCACTCTCCAAACAGCCGAGCATATCGCTGGCAACGGACAAAGCTCCAATAGCAGCACCACCGAATGCAGCGGCGGTTGGAATAATCTTCTTCAACTCCCTGTAGGCACTGGTGTCTCTGTGACCAGCGATAACCAAGCCCTGGTCCTTGAACTGCTTGGCAATGTTTCTTGGAGCAGTACCGGAAATCTCAATCCAGGTGGTGGAGAAGAGAGCGCAAGCACCCAAGACGTAGGTGACGTAGATCACGGTCTTGATAGGGTCCAACATGGCTTCAGTGACGGAAAGAGGAGGCTGAATGTAGTAAGCCAAACCGCTGACGGCGTACAACTGAGAAGAGCCACCCTTCTGGCCCCACTGTCCCAAGAGCTTGACAAACATGTTGTTTGGCCATCTCATGAACACAATCTGCGAGGCAATGAAGATGTTCAGCGACAAGGCCAGCTGCAACATGATGGGCATGTTGGAGGTGTAGAACAAACGAATAGGGTACAAGGCGTATGGGCCTCTCTGTCTGGTGCTCTTGATTGGCAACTCGACTCTGAAACCCTGCAAGTACACGACAGTCAAGAACATGAAGACGGTGGCCAAGACCTGGAGCATGTTGGGCAAGTTCTGTCTGTAGAAAGCCTCCAAGATGGCTCTCTTCTTGTCGGATCTAGAGCCCAAGAGGTGGAAGAGGGCAATCACAGCACCGTCAAACTCGGCACCCTTACCAGCGGAGGAGGTGGTAGGAGCAAAAGCCTTCCACATGATCTTCTCACACACGTTGGTGGCGGTGAACAAGGAGATACCAGAACCAAGACCGTAGCCCTTCTGCAACAACTCGTCCAACAAGATAACAATGATACCAGCGAAAACCAACTGCAAGATCAACAACAAGATAATGCCCATACCCAAGCCCTTGGGAGGACCGTACATGCCGGTCAACACGTACACGGTGGCCTGACCACACGCCAACATGATGGCCAAAAGCTTCTGAGCATTCTGGAACTGCTCTCTGTCCTGCTTGTTGTTCATGTCCACCTGGATCATCTTGGTTCCCTGCAACAACTGGAAAACCATGGAAGCAGTGACAATCGGGGTGACACCAAGCTCCATAAGCGTGCCTCGGTTGGACGCGAGCATCATTCTGAGCCAGATCAACGGGTCCAGGCCGTCTGACGAGTTGATACCGTAAAGTGGGATTTCACTCATAACGAGGAAAATCAACAAGGTGACACCGGTCCACATGACTCTCTGGTTGAACGAGACTTTTCTCTCGGGCGCGATGACCTCGGGCACGAGGGGCTCGAACGGCTTGACGAGATCCAAAACACGGAAACTCATGATGTGGTTTGAAAGTGGAGGTGGTTTTGAAAAATGTTGTGCGGTCGTTGACGTGTCGTTGGATTTGGGTCACGTGACCAACACACGTTCAGCGTGTTGCCAACGTCCATTGTGATGGAAAGCGCACGGAATGGGGGCGGGGGAGACGGAAAGGGGTGGGTCTTGGGTCTGGCTTCATTTTTGGGGAAATTTGGAAGCTTTTGAAGGCGATTTGAAGAAAGTCGCCATTTCGTAGTAGGATTTATGAGTCCGGCACGACCCTGTCTAGATATCGCCATACTCCCTCAATTGGAAAAGCGCTCAATGTTTCTGGACTAAAAAACTTCATGTATTTCAAAAACAATGTTCAAATGGGGAATTTCTCGAATCAGGATGGTTTTTGATGGGGTGTATCTGCTGAGGTAGCGACGACATTGTCGCGATCGTTGACAAAAAAGAGGTGGATGTCGCGGCTCCCCATACTAAAGGCTCCACCAATTCCACCACAGATCATGTCTGACTGGGCCAGCAAGCTACAACGAAAGGATTCTGCAAAAGAAGGATCCAAAGAAAAGTCACGTGCCGCTCCCACTACCAAAGAAGCTCCCAAAGAGGCAGTTCCGTCCGACGGACAGATCAACACTACACCGACTGATAAGAAACCCGTGACTAAACCAGAGTTTGTGGAGTTCAACGGCGAAGAAGTTGCTGCTTTTCTCCATGCGGCGTACACAGCAGTGCTAGAAGAAGCCAAAAAGGACAAAGCCGGTGAAAAAGTCAGAATCTACCAATCCTTGGAGAGTCCATCTGGATGGACCAGAGCAGTGGGAAACAAGAAGGAGGACCGCCACGTGAACGTTGTGACGGAGGTTTCCCGGCAGCTCACAGCACAAAGAAAAAAGTGAAAATAGAGCATTTCTAGAGGATTTAGATTGGTGTGGAGAGGTTGAAGAAGCTGGGTATTAGGCAGTGCGATAGCAATAGCAATTCGAGGCAGCACGGCAAACGTCGAGGCACAAAGGGTAAAGGGTGTTTCAGAATGAGGTTTTGAGGGGATACTTTTGGTGAAGATTGGAAATGCAATGGATGCAACTGCTGTAAATTATAGAGGCAGGAACCGATGATAGAGAGATAGACTACAACGGGCGATTTGTGGGTTTTGGTGACATAGGGTTTTGGGCTTTTGGAAGCAACGCAATTGAGCAATTCCCGGAGCTTCAGTTGTTGCTGAATGTTCCTTTGGATATTGTGTCTTTCGAGGACCAAACAACAAGTCCATAGTGCCAACCCAGTCAACCCACCCAAACAGACTAGAACCACCAAAGATTTCCAAGAACCCCAGCCTGGCCAATCATTACAAAACACCAAAACCTCCCCACAGCCACAAACCAATGGATGGTCAATCGCTTGCGGCTTCACTGAGTAAGCGATCCAGAGCCGCACCATCAAAAGTATACTACACCAGCCAGGCCAGGCCGTTTCCAGCCTGACTAACAAAACCGTTATTCCTGTCGCGTCCAGCACGTGCAAACCGGGCCGGACGGACAAATCCACGAAAATGACTCCCCCACGGGCGGCCCCAGCACTTAAAATCTACAGCCAAAGGCGTGAGTCAAACCTTATTAATTTGTTTGTTCCACTGACTCGGCGCCGCAAGTGTCATCATGCGATAGAAGCGTGGCCAGACCCAAACCCCGAAGCGAGTGAAATTGCCATACTAATCGCCATTGAAAGTCGACGGAAAAATCTAGCGTTTTATCAAAACAGCCCCACGCTTCGTCTAATATTAGACGAGGCTGGTTGCGGACATATACCACCGGACCCCGGGCGCTGTGGGACCTAAATCCCACGCGACAAGTGTCTCAGTAGTGGGCCTTTGAGCCGAGCACCCCGGTGAAGCACGGCCTCCAGACCCGGTTACATGCAGGCCACCGCAACCTTTCCGTACGCACCTCCGGGTTTCTATAAGAACCTGGGGTAACCCATGTGCTTTGATCCCCAAACACTTGTTTTTGCACCCTTCCTTTTCCACACACACAACAAGCTAGCAACATGGTCCAGACCGTCTCCCAGCAGATGAATGTCGAAACCGACATCATCACCTTGACTCGTTTTATTCTCGAGGAGCAGCAAAAGTTCGCTCCCAACGCCACGGGCGAATTGTCTCTCCTTTTGAACTCGCTCCAGTTTGCATTCAAGTTCATTGCCCACAACATCAGAAGAGCTGAGTTGGTCAACCTCATTGGTATTTCCGGTACCGCCAACACCACCGGTGACGTGCAGAAGAAATTGGATGTTATTGGTGACGAGATCTTCATCAACGCCATGAAGTCCAGTGGTAACGTCAAGGTTCTTGTCTCTGAGGAGCAAGAAGACCTCATTGTGTTCGAGGGCGGTGGCCGTTACGCCGTCTGCACTGACCCAATTGACGGTTCCTCCAACATTGACGCTGGTGTTTCTGTCGGTACTATTTTCGGCGTCTACCGTTTGAGAGACGACTCCACCGGCTCCATCAAGGACGTCTTGAGAAAGGGTACTGACATGGTTGCCGCCGGCTACACCATGTACGGTGCTTCCGCCCACCTCATGTTGACCACCGGCAGAGGCGTCCACGGTTTCACCTTGGACACCCAGTTGGGCGAGTTCATCTTGACCCAGCCTGACTTGAAGATTCCTCCTTCCAGAGCCATCTACTCGGTCAACGAGGGTAACTCGTTCTACTGGCCCGAGTACGTGCAAAAGTACATTGCCGAATTGAAGGAGCCCCAGGAGGAGTTGAAGGGTAAGCCTTACTCTGCCCGTTACATTGGTTCCATGGTGGCCGATATCCACAGAACGCTCTTGTACGGTGGTATTTTCGCCTACCCCGCCGACTCCAAGTCGAAGAACGGTAAGTTGAGAGTGTTGTATGAGTGTTTCCCCATGGCGATGTTGATGGAGCAGGCCGGCGGCTCTGCTGTGAACGACAAGGGTGAGCGTATCTTGGACATCTTGCCCAAGGGCATCCACGACAAATCTGGCATTTGGTTGGGATCCAAGGGCGAGATTGACCGTTTCTTGAAGTACATTCCATGAGCCCCCCTAGTCCGCAACGCTGGAGCCCGCATTCCATAGAGCCCTACAGGTATATAGCATTTCCACGAGATATGGCCCCTTGATATTATTCCGTTGTAGTCATCAGTAACCGATATTATGTCATGGCGCAGAGTCATATGCATCACTGCGACAGAGTCTCTTCATACATTGAATTACACATTAAACTACTACCACTTAGGAAGAAGACCGAGTCAAAAACCCCCCTGGCTTTCTCCTTTTGCATCCTTTTTAACGAAATAATAGACTATAGACCATGAAATACCATTTACAAAGATGGACCCGACGGATCCGCCGAGGTCTCTCTAAACGATATGATCTTGAACACCTCAAGAAAATCGCCTTTGCCATAGCCTTGGCCACCTGTCTCCTGCTGGGGCTGATTATGCTTTTTTCGCTTTATGCCCTGTCGCTTCACAATACCGTGGGGTTGAGTTACACCGAGATCAATGTGATAGTCCTGCTTTCTGCTGTGGGTATGTACCTCTGCTTACCGGTATTGGGCTATTTGGCTGACTGCTACGGTCCAGCATTGCTACTGCTTATTTCGATTTGGGCGTTTTGTCCAGCGTACTTTGTGAATGCGTTGTTGGTGAACCAGGTCAGACTGAGTCACTTGGAGGAGCCTTTTGCGGAATTGAACAAGATGGGTGTGCTCGTGATGGCGTTCAGTTTCTGCTTTATAGGCTTGGCCACGTCGTCGTTGTACTTTTCCAGTTTGCTTACGTGTGCTAAGATCTACCCGGACCACAAGGCGTTGGCGATTTCGTTGCCTGTTTCGTGTTATGGTGTGTCCTCGCTTATTGGCGCCCAGCTAATGAAGGTGCCCTATTTTCATGTAAAAGACGGACGGGAGCTTGACCTCGAGAAGGTGTTTATGTTTTTCGCCGTTTTGTACTTGTTCATGGGCGCCTTGAACTTCGTTTCCAACTCCATCGTGAGCATCGAGACAGATATCGTTTTTGGCAATGAGGAGCCACAGATTCCAGACTCGGAAACAGGCACTCCCGCAGACAGCATCATGGAAAACGGCGACGAAGAAACGGCGCTTCTTCCGCAAAGATCACACATTGAACCTGTGGACCACAAGGCCCGTTATATTCGCTTTCTCAAGGACAAGTCGGCCTGGGCGTTGCTCATTTCGCTTTTGCTCAACATAGGACCCATGGAGAGTTTCCAGAATAATTTGGGCCTGATTATCGAGTCCACCACTGGCGGAGAAGGTGTATTGGCAGACCAGGTATCAGTGATTGCGCTTCTGTCCACCACTGTAAGGCTTGTGGTGGGAGTGGTTGCAGACTATATTCTGAGCTCCAAGCGCCGCTACCCAGTCTGCAAAGTCTGGCTCATGGTGGGCTTTATTGTGGTGGGCATCATAGCTCAGATTGCGGTAATTTACGGCTTCAGCTTTACGACAATTTCCGTACTCAGCGGTATTTGCTACGGCGGCCTATTCACAATTTACCCGACCGTGATTGCTTCCGTGTGGGGCGTTGATCTCATGGGTTCGACGTGGGGTCTGTTCATGGTGGCTCCAGCTATCGGAAGCATTCTGTACTCGCTTTTGCACGGTGAGGAAATGGACAGTTGCAAAAACAGAGGCAACTACGACCACGGCACGGACGGCTGTTTGGTGCATTACTTCATCACCACCGGCGTGAGTTTGTTTTTGAGCTTGGTGTTTGTGGTTGTAGCGTGGAGGGTCTTCTGGTACCGTCGTTGACTCAAGGTGTTCTGAGGCCCTTGCCCAAGATTGAACGTAAAGAGGAGGTGATATTTGCATCGAAGTCTACTTGGCTACTAGTCTGCCCGATTTGAGGATGGACAGAACTCCCACAATTGAGTCCATAACAGAAAGAAGCATACCTCCATCAACCACACAAGATGGATTGCCCGAGGAACATCACCATACGCCGAATCGGCGAGATAACCATAAAGTCTAAAAGAAAATGACACAAAGCTGCTGCGGTGAAAAATACTGAACAGGCCATCGACTGACCTGAGCACGAGATGCCCACAATGACGGGAAACCATACATCGATCTTACGTCAATCCCGTTGATTTGTCTCAGCCACACTCAAAATGTCAAATTCCTAATTTTCGGTACACCGTGGAGCCAAGAAAGACACGGGTGCAAATGGTGGATCTAAGCATTCTCTTACAGAACACGAGACGCGCTATGCCTCCGGGATCCCAAAAGTCCAACCTCCAAACCAAAAATCAATACCTTATTTCGCTAAAACCTTCAAAATCTAAAAAGACAACACCTCATCCCAACAATCCACATCGCCGTTTGGGCGTTTTTCACCACCAGGCGCGATGTGGTTCCTGAACAGGCCATGCACGGCGCTAGCGTGCAGCTGTCAGCCCACGAGGATGTAGGACGTGTTTGGAAAAGCAAAGGTGATGGTTGCAAAAAACGGGATCTGGCGAATCAGAAACAAAGCTGAATATCGAAAAAAATCGCCTTTCAAGCAGCCAATGACAATGGCTTCGCAGCGGCCAGGGGACGATCGGAAGCTGGGCACTTATTGTTCGAAGCAGCGAAGCCGAGCTGGAAAATGCAGATCGAGTGTTGACGTGGGCTGGTTTGACGGACCACTATGGGCCGGAGGAGGCCGGAATGCTGGCTGCAAAAAGCCGGGCGTTACCGAATTTCCATGAAAACGAATCCATTGATTTTCTCCAACGGCGAAGTGCAAATTTCGAAATCTGAAAATTAAGCTTTGGCGGCTGGTCAACCAACCAGCCAGCATGAGCGGCTCGCGGCTGTCAATCCCACAGATACGTGCACAGCCGGGTTGAAAAACACAGGATCATCAGGAACCAGCGTCCAGCATTGAACAAATCAAAACAAAATAATCCAGCAGACCAAACCTGTCCTCATGGGCTGGCTCTCAGGGCTCGTGGTCCCATGTCCACGGCGGTGTGCACACGGGGTTCGGAGTACGTGTTGCGCCACAGTCAAGAGAACTCATAGGGGAGGTTTTTGTGGAATTTGATAAAGATTTAAATTGTCAAGAATTGACTTAAAAAGAATTAAAAGTCGTTCACCAAGATCTCTCCCAACGTGGAGCGCTAATGGCCCCTGGGCGCGGTCCTATTTTTGTTCGCATTTTGCATCTTTTTTTTCCCATTCGCGCCTCGCCATATATATACCCACCGTGGCCAGTTCCAACGCTTTTCCCTTTTTTTCCCTGACGCCAAAGCGTATAACAAAAACAAACACACCATTACAATGAAAGGCCTTATTCTTGTCGGCGGTTACGGTACTCGTTTGAGACCCTTGACTTTGACTTTGCCAAAGCCCCTCGTGGAGTTTGGTAACAGACCCATGATCTTGCATCAGATCGAGGCCCTTGCTGCTGCTGGTGTCACCGACATCGTGTTGGCTGTCAACTACAGACCCGAGGTCATGGTCTCCACTTTGAAGAAGTACGAGGCTGAGTACGGTGTTTCCATCACCTTCTCTGTCGAGGAGGAGCCTTTGGGCACCGCTGGTCCTTTGAAGCTTGCCGAGAAGGTCTTGAAGAAGGACGACTCTCCTTTCTTCGTGTTGAACTCCGACGTTATCTGCGAATACCCATTCAAGGAGTTGGCCGAGTTCCACAAGAACCACGGTGCTGCCGGTACCATTGTGGCCACCAAGGTCGACGAGCCTTCCAAGTACGGTGTCATTGTGCACGACAGAAACACCCCTAACTTGATTGACCGTTTCGTTGAGAAACCAGTTGAGTTTGTCGGTAACAGAATCAACGCTGGTTTGTACATCTTGAACCCTGAGGTGATTGACTTGATTGAGATGAAGCCTACTTCCATCGAGAAGGAGACCTTCCCACAGTTGGTCGAGAAGAAGCAGTTGTACTCCTTCGACTTGGAGGGTTACTGGATGGACGTTGGTCAGCCAAAGGACTTCTTGTCCGGCACGTGTCTCTACTTGACCTCCTTGTCCAAGAGATCCCCCGAGAAGTTGTCTAACGAGAAGTGGGTGCACCAGGGCAATGTGCTCGTGGACCCAACTGCCAAGATCCACCCTACTGCCTTGATCGGCCCTAACGTGGTGATTGGTCCTAACGTTGTCATTGGTGAGGGTGCCAGAATCCAGAGATCGGTGCTCTTGGCCAACTCCGAGGTCAAGGACCACGCATGGGTCAAGTCCACCATTGTGGGCTGGAACTCCAGAATCGGTAAGTGGGCCAGAACCGAGGGTGTTACCGTGTTGGGTGACGATGTGGAGGTGAAGAACGAGATCTACGTGAACGGAGCCAAGGTGTTGCCTCACAAGTCCATCTCCAACAATGTGGAGCACGAGGCCATCATTATGTAAGGCCCGCCCTATGTAGTTACGCTCGCTTTCAATGACAATACATACCCCTAATTATACCGTGGCGGTGACGTAGCCGACGAAGCTCTTGCGAAGCGGCTCGCTGATGGGCTTCACCGAGCTGAAGTACAGCACAAAGAGCACCTGTGATATGCTGGGCTCGGTGATCTTGCCGAGCGTCTTGACGTCGCCGTTCTTGCCCTCGTAGTGCATTGTGATGGTGCTGTTTTCGCTCACCAAGTATAACGAGTGGTTCTTGGGCACCGATCCTTTGAACCCCTTGAATGCGTCTCTGAGCTGCTCCACGCCCACAGCCACTTCTTCTCTTTTCGTCTTGGCCATTGGACACGCCAAAATCGTCTTGACGAAGCCGTCACGCAAATGCCCAAAGTCCGTATTTCTCACCGGCGTGATTCGGATGGTGTAGTTGAGTTTCTCCGACATGGCCGCCAACATGTCCTGCGACGTTTGCTTATCCTCCAAAAGCTCCGCTGGCGATTTCCCTGTTTCCTTCAGCCAGAGCCCGACGGTCTTGCCGATCTGGCTTTCGTAGTTCTTGGGAACATAGAGCCCCACGGCATACACCTTGAAGCTGATGAAGGTGACGGAACGCACGCCTGTGGCGATCAACTTTTGCACGTTGTTGACGACGGAGCAGTTGGATTTGGAGAGCTGTGTGGGAAAAGGATCAATTCCCGAATCCACGTCCACCCCGTCGATTCCAGCTTTTGCTGTATCGTTGGCAATGAAGTTTAGGGAGAAGCCTGCGAGCGCTAGAGGCGCTGTTCTTGCAAGCGGTCTTGCGAGGCTGGCAAAACGGAACATGTTGTGGGGATTTTGGGGGAAAGAGAGGGTTAAGGTAGGAGGAGTGAGTATTAGGTGGAAAATGTGGGGCCATCGCGAAGTGGGATGAGTGGTGGATGGATGGATGGTGATTTGGTGAAGTTGCATGGAGGTTTGAAGTGATTTGGGATTGATTTGGGTTTTGGTTAGAGAAAGGTGATTTTGGGGTTTTGGGGGATTTCAAAGAGTCGAGGAGTGAATTGGGTGTGGGACAAGGTAGGGTGGGTTTGACAGGCTGCAGGGGACATATGTACATGGAGTGGGTAATGGAGGTGACGTTTTTCGAGGAGCTGAGTTATGGACTGTTGAAGATCGTAGCTTTCCATTGCATTAGTGATTTAGGCCATCGTATTTATTTATTTGACGTTTCTCGATGGCGTGTTGCATTGTGATGGAGATACCTCTCTACCCTATCGCAATCCACCAATTCGTAATACAGAGGAGTGGCTTCCATTGAAAAGATGAAGAGTAGGCTCTTTTTGTGACTTCATTGAATTCACAGACTTCTCTAGAAATGCTGGAGTTGGCGCCTTTTCATGATATCGCTGTTTGACAAGTACCCACCTCGAGGTTTGCAGCCACCAGCTTCCAAACACCCAACCCAATTGTCTTCTTTTTATTATTATTTTTTTTTTATTAATCTAATTTAATGAAAAACCCTTATTAGTTTTACATAGAGAAAATCCCATCTTATCAGCTTCCAGAGTAGCTCCGCTTGACCACACCTGTGGACTGAGTCTTTCCCCTGTGGCTGCTAAGCCCTAGCCCTGTCTTGATTTTTCAAAATTTCAAAAATTAAAATTTAATCAGGAAAAATTCATTACCCCAGAAACCCACCAACTCTCCGTGTGACCTTCCGTGGACCTCCCAAAAATTATCAACACTTTTCCCAATTACGCAACTCCAACCACCTCGAACTTCCCGAAAGACCAAATCCCTCCCAAAGTCACACCTACTATTTATTACCTCTATACTCCTCTGCCTCCACCTTCCGCTTCTACCACCCCAGGAATGACCACAACATCCCTCGAACTATAAGAATCCGCCGAAAAGGCCTCTGTAGTTTTCTCTCCATCCACCACAGCAATGACTCTTCCCCAGCACAGCAGAAGATTTCTCAGAGAAAAGAACAGCAAGACCTCCTTGCAGCGCATCCTCGGGCGCTACGCCCCAGCCAACGATGCAAAGATTAACCCACAAAGCTTTACCTCGATCAAGGTGAACAAGAACACCTCGACTAACCAAGACAGAATGAGCAACATGCGGATTGCCACGAAGAAGAACGCCAAGCGTCTTTTGCACTATTGCAGCGATTTGCTTCAGCAGGAACTTCAGCAAGAAGCACAGCCAGAGTTTGAAATCCTCACTGACCGCTTGGGATACCAGTACTTGGTTCCCATCGAGGTTTTGGGCAAATTCAAGCGCTTGCCTCCAGTTACTCAAGCCCCCTGTCCCCCAGCATTCCCCGACTTCCCACAGCACGTTCCCCAGACTCAGGTCATGGCAACTGCTTTTCAGCAGGAAGCTGTGGAAGTTATTCCAGCCCAATTGGCTCCAGCCCAATTGGATCCAGCTCAATTGGCTCCAGCCCAATTGGCTCCAAATAGGCAATTCGAGCCAGCTTCGCAGCCCCAACCCTGTTCGCTGGGATTGGCAATTGCAAGGTCGTTTCCTCAAAACTTCCAACCACCGCTTCTGGTTCCCACCGACGATATGGAGTCTGACGATGAGTTTGAGAGCCCAACGCCAGAGCTTCTTTCGCCCGTGGAGCAGCTTTCAGAAGTTCAGAATCGCCAGATCATGACTGCTCTCCAGCACTTTGTTCCTGAACATGAATGGTCGGCTCCACAGCCGGTGAGATGCATCATCACGGAGAACGAGGAAGATACGGCGTCTTTCTTTGACGGGGCCTTCGAAATCTTGAACTACCTCCAACTGCCTGATTTTGAAAATGCCTCTGAAGAGGAGGTGACCACGGAATCCTCACCGGAGGTTGCACCTTCCCAAAATGGAGCTACCGTTTTCAGCAGCTTCTGCACTGGACCTTCCGAAGCTCCAGCGTCGTCCGAGTACCCCGAGTGGGATTTCGGCACAGAGCACGAGGAAAACGCTGCCTCCATTATGAGCCGTTCTCACAAGCTGCCCAAGAGCGAAGTGCTCCGCAGGTTCAAGAACAAGCTCATGGCACGAGGCTGGAACGCTTCAGAAATGGAGTTTCTGAGCCTTTATCTCCAGCGGGCTCCACCAAAGTCGATTCTTCGAAACGGCCCCAAGCAGGCGGTGGTCGAGTGTGAATCGGGCTTGTGTACGCCTAGGCAGCTGCCTTCTGCTGGTCACGCCGTTATCGACGAGGTAATGATCAACAGACTCGGCACCATGGAGCTTGGCGATTCCCCAGCCAAGAAGGTCCGGTTTGCGAAGGAGATGGAAAGCCACAAGTACATTCCTTCGAGACACTCGACCGAGGTGGCCTGACTGCTCCCCCGTGCTCCCCAAAAATTGTATAAAAATAAGAAAAAAATAAAGAAAGCCGTAGTTTCAATTTTCTTTTTGCTGGAGCTGCTTGATTTGCGGGCTGATGGCCTCGTGGGACTGGATGCTGAGTCCACTGGCTACCTGAGCATTGTAGAAGCTCTCCCACATGGCCCACTCCTGTTCGATATTTTTTACCTCGGAACCGAGCCAGTCGTTTTTGGAAATGTAGGACGAAAGAACTCCAAGAAAGGTGTCTCCAGCGCCGGTCACATTGACCACTTTGAGGTTCTCGTTTTCTGGTGGAATGGGGAAGTACTCTATAACCACGCCGACCCTCTGATCCTCCACCACCTGTCCTTGGGATGTGTAAATAAAAGCTGGAGCGTGTGGGGAAGTAGTAGGAATCGATTTGTAGCTATCCACATCGGTGCTCAATTTGACCAAAACCACGCCCTTCTTGCCTAGCTTCACGGCAATATTGGGGATGTAGGGCACAAGCTGGAGACACTGCTGGACCACGCCTTTTTCCATAAGAAGCTTGAGAACATCGTGCTTGTTGGCCTGGACTGCTAGTTTTTCTCTGAACTGGGAGTTGATGCCGAGGGAGTCGAGTGCTGGAAACCATTCATCGTAATCGTCAAACAACTCCCGACGGCTGAAGTTCGAATGGATGTTTTCGAGTTCAGCAACGGTCGGCGTGATCATGGATATAGTGTTTTTTGGGAAAATGCCCAAATTCCGTGTGTTCACCTGTGCAATTCGGCCCAGTTTGGGTCCTGAGGTTGGTTCAACTATAAGCTTAGGCTGGTATCCCAAGTCCTTTTTGACAACTTCAAGCAACAGACTCAAAACTTCCGATGAGAGGTTGCAGTCAACCACTATGGTCTCCGGCTGGGCCCTTAAGACCTGCTCTTTCAAAAACGACAGAACCGCTGTTTCTTCAAAAATAGACATATCGGCACAAGCCAAAAGAAGCTCTCCCTGCGGATCAAGCATGGCAGTGTACTGTGCTGTCAAGGATGAAGGCTCCACCTTGATGCCGCTTACATCGCCGTGTGTTTTCTCCAATTCGTTGAGAAGCAGTTTTCCAGCAAAGTCGTCTCCTACTACGGAAACAAACCTATAGGTTGAGTTCGATGCGTATTTGTGTGCCAAAGAAACGTTGAAACCCACTCCGCCAATTGAAGAACGCAGCTTTCCGGGGTTAGAATCACCCATGGACGCTTTTTTGTCTAGAACACTGATGGTGTCCTGAGCAACCAGGCCGATGATGAGGGTCTCCACTTTATCTGGAAAGCTCCTCGAAGTCGTTGAGGGAGTCTTCTCCACTCTTTCCTCATTAACTGGCTTGATGCTGGTCGAGGGGACAAAGCTCGTCTGTTATTAGTACAAACCGCAGAAAATGCTAAATGTTACTTACTGAACCGTTCTCGAGATCGAGAAGCTCTTTGGCCAAATGGCTGGCTGCGATGGCATTGTTTATGACAAAGTCCTTGTTGCACTGGACGGATTTGCCTTCCAGGGCCTCGGCGACGCTCTTCAACAAAAACGGCGTCAAGTGTTTTCCCAGAATTCTTTGTTCAGCTGCTTTGGCTGTAGCCTCCTCAATCACCTTATCGATAAAGTCGCTGGAAAGCGCTACGTCTGCTGGAGGAGGCACACAGAACAAGCTCGAAGAAGTAAGGCCCATGACGTTGTTGGCCTGGTGCACAATGGACGCTGCCTCTTTCCATGAAGAAACCTCATATGGTGATAATACACCCAGGTCTCTGCAAAAGAAGCCTGGAATCTCGACCCTGCTGCGTTTATCGTCATTGAGTGTCGCCACAAACACGCCCTGCGTCTCTAAGTACTCCATGGTCCGTGCAATGTCGAGAATCAGCTTGGGGCCTGAACACACCACACTGACTGGGGTTCTGGCCAATTCCGTCAAATCAGCGCTAACGTCCATGGTGATGTGTCCGTCCTTGTGAACGCCACCTAGTCCTCCCGTGGCAAAAACCTTGATTCCCGCCAAATGTGACAAGATCATCGTTCCAGCGATTGTAGTACCGCCATTGAGGCCCTTGGCCATAGTGACGCCAATGTCTCTTCTGGAGACCTTGTTGACGGCCTTCAGCGTGGCCATCTGCTCCAAGTGGGTGTCTGAAAGCCCCACATGCGGTTTTCCTTCGATAAAAGCACACGTGGCTGGAACAGCACCTGAATGGCGGACTGCTTCCTCGACCTTTCTGGCCATCTCGAGATTGGCAGGGTAAGGAAAGCCATGGGTGATAATTGTGGATTCCAAGGCGACGACCGGTTTGGATTTTTCAGCTAGTGCCAGGCGGATCTCCTCGCTGATGGTCACGGCGGACTTCAGGAGGGTTCTGGTGAATCTGAGGATTCTCATGAGTGGTTGGTTTGAGATCTGGGGTAGGATCGCGGAATCCGATGAAAATTTAGGTCAGAGGGGGTGTTTGTGGAAGTGAGGATGGGGCGGGGAGGTTTTGGGGATTTTTGGGGAATTGGGTTGGATTTGGCGGATTTGGGTTTTGGAAGGGGGCTTTTGGCGTATTTATAGGTTTTCAGGCGGTGAACTGGATGTATGGTTCTGGTGGCTGCAAACGGTGGACCATCATACGATGAGACCGTCGAGGTTGGAGAAAGTTTTGCCGATTTCGGTGAATTTCCAGATAATCGAGAATTCTGATGTACCTTATCTTTATAAATCACAAAAATGAACATTCGCCTCTTGGTTCTTCAACTGTCTTCTCTACGGACTCGATGCCTCCTGCAGATTCACACATCAACGCTTACTACTACAACCAGAGATGAGCTCCCTGGACGAATTGGGGAAAGGCTCCCAGCCTAATTCCTTTGATGAACTACATAAAGCCTTCCTTGGAGGCGGCTCAAATGAAGAATTGAGAAACTACATCGCCCAAAATGGCCTTTCTCCAGAACAGTGTACCACCGTGTTGAAGGGCCTCAGACACGGTCTACAATGGACCAACCAGGGCTACGATTTCCTTAAAGGCTCTGCAGATTCTCAGAAACTTCCGTTTCTCCAGTTAGCTGTTTTGGTCTTTGACCAATTGACCGAAGAGGACAGGCTCGATATCCTCGTGCTTGTTTCCCAGTACTTGAACCCATGGGTTCCATGGAGCAACGTTGAATTAGCTGCCGAAGCTGCAAAACTACAACCAGAATACGAAAAACAAGTGCTTCCGTTTTTGGACAAAATCAGACCCTCCCTCCTATCGATACCTAACGTCAAGGTCTCCCTGAGTGGATACAGAAGAACAGGTCTAGGTGCCAGTGGACTTCGTCCGTCACTTGGCTTTTCAGGTATCGGAAGCAGCATTTTTGAAGACGATAAGCGGAAAGAGTGGAAAACGCTGCAAAACGTCACCGCCTTATCCACAGTGTATGGATTTCTTGCTGTGTCTGATGACAGTATAGATTTCCAGGCAAACTGGCCAATAGCCATTACCTTCATTCTCAATGTTCTTGATGACTCAGACCCCGTGTTTCGTGCACAGGGCTGCCATTTGGTCGAGCAGGTCTTGAATACTGGCCATGAGAAGGTGTTGATCAGGTCAGGGCATGTGGACCTCTTCCTAGAATCCACAGAATCGTGTCTTCACTATTTGCCGAGCCTCACGCCAGCAGATGTGTCGTTGCATCTTTTGAGTGCAGCGTACCCGCTACTTTACCGGTTGATGGAGCTTCGTGAGAGGCCGATTTCGTCTTACACTGCTGTTCTCGAGAAGAACATCCTCAGTTCGATTTCACACGTTCAAGGAAGGGAGAGCGAAAAGGGCGCCAACCGTGTTTTGACGTTTTTGCTCAATCAGGCTGAAAGTCTAATACGGCAGCGTCTTGAGGGAGCTGTTCTAAGCGGCTTCCTGAGACTCAACTACATGCTTTGTCAGTTAATCACGAATCCGTTTTTGATTGATGCCGATGGCGGAGCTGAGGTCGTGGACCTGGCTCTTTTTGTGCAAAGTGCCAGTGTGGAGGCTTTCAAGGACGTTGAAGACCAACAGGGAAAGGAGCTTTTTGGGTCCCATAAGTATGATCTTCTTGGGTCTTGGATTGTGCTTCTTCGGCGAGTGGAGAAGTTCAAGGTGGGAACAAAATCTACGAAAGACGTTATTGTGGAGAATATCAGGGGACTTTCACACATTGTGGGGCCTGAGCTCCAGCAGGACTACGAGGCAGCGTTGGAACTGAGTCCGGGGACTCTACCAACATGGGATGATCTTTTGAAGTAGGAATCGGTGGTTTATAGAATTATGACGTGGTGCGGGGAATAATGGAACGAAATTTATGACATATGGCTCAATTGGGCCTGTAGAGTTGGTATTCGATTTTAAACGGCGTTGTTGAAGAAGAGTGTTTTGTAGAATGGCTGCGAAATATGTTAATAGAGCAGAATGCAAGGTGGCTCCTGGTTCAGAAAAGTGAAAATTTACAATTACAATTTAAACTGGCACAGTGAAAACACAAATCAAACGATTTTGCCTTTTTGAATACCTCTCCCCAATTAACCCACTTCTCCACCTCATTGCATCATTATCAACATCGACATCAACATCGCGCTCTTACTACAACAACATGGAAACACCCTCCCAAAACAGAGGAGACAGGATCAAAAAGCTCCTCCAGGAGCACGTGAAAAAAGACGTCGCCATCTCCAACCCCATCCAGGAAGCCTACGAGAAAAAACTCAACAAGGACATCGACAGAACGCAGAAGTTCCTACGTCAGGCAGAACAGGCTCTAGAAAAGCTAGACGAACCAACCAATGAACACGAGCTGTGGACGGAGGAGACGCGTCAAAAGGCACACACGCTAGCCCTCTACGAAGTGTACCTGAAACTTCCCTACACGGTGATGAAAAACGACCTGTTAGGCACGGCTACAGCAGCTCATCTCACTGGAGAAGCTGTGGTTCAGCAGACAGCCGCCACCGAGGAATTCGGCGATATCAATGCCGAGCTTGAACGTGAATTGGAGGGTTTGAGAGCCACGTTGGCGGATTACAAGAGCATGCTGGCGCTTTTAGAGAAACGTATAGCTGGACACCCCAGCAGAGTCAAGGCCATGGAGCAAAAGCTACACAATGCCCAGCACGTGGACGACGAGCTTTCCGAGAAAACAGAGCAAGTTCGGGAGGCCACGGCGAGGATCAAGAAGGTGGAAGATAAGCTTCAGCAGCATATGGCCAGGGTAGTGACCAAGCTCCATGCCATGTTGGACTGGGAAAACACCGGCATGGTCGATGAAGACACGTTCAAGAGAAGGATCAAGCAGTCCATGCAGCTTCTCCAGCAGCTTGTGCTGCGGTTGGTGCAAGATTCAGAGAAATGGGTCCCCATCACTGCTGGTAGTCCCGAGGAGCAGCTTGTTCAGCTTATGCATCGGAACAACTTGATTGAGATAGACAATTCTGGCGAGCTTGCCATACGGTTACGCAACTACGGAGCGGAGTTCTAGTGGAAGTGGATTGAGTGGACAGGCAACGGCATTGGAAGTGATGCCTGTGAAAAGACCCGGAGATACGGTCTGTGGCGAAGCTTCACAATGGCCCGTTGGCTTTTGGTTCTTGTGATTCGGCGTCTATTGTACTCACCATGCAAAGCCATCGGAACGTCAAGAAAATTGACACAACGGCAGCTCATAACTCCCAGATCAAGGTGGGGTTTGGATGAAGGCCAAGCACGTTGAATAGGATCTGCATTGCACCACATGGTGTTACACTAGCCACGGAACAGACACAAAGATCACTATTTTCATCTGATTTTTCCTACAATTTCCCGTCAGAGGAGGGGCCCAACAGTTTTGCCACTGGCCTACAATCAGCGGCGCCAGTGATGACATAATCTCAGTCCTCGGGATCTACGATGGAACGGAATCCGAACTGTCCACTGAAAAAATCAACGCCTCAATTGCAAAAATCAGAGCCAAAGAAAAAAAAAGCTCAACCCCGCCCGCCAGCCTCGGCCTGCTGCCTTAGTTCTCGATCGGCCTCGGAGACGGACTTTGGTTACATCTGGCAACGGCGTCGTTTACGAGCGAAAAAAAGGATCTTCCACAAACAGCACACTGTACTTGACCATCTCTGGGCCATGCGGAAGGTGCGTGTAATCGTGGAAGAAAAATAAAAAAAAAAAAAGCACCGCTTCTCATGCGCCGCTCAGGGGACCAGGAAACAAGCTTGAAAAGTCCGAAAGCGGCTCCGCGGCGCTACCCACCAATGGAACTTTCGTCGTATTCCAGGAACCCCCAAACTCAATCGTCGTCCCAAAACGCACAGGGGGCAAAATACCCGCAGAATCCTCATCTCCCTGACAGTAAAACGTCTCTGTTCCTCGGCCCCCGCAAAAACCCCACCAGTGCGTATTCATATCACGTTCACGCTCTTTCACGCTGCACTGCACTTTTCGCACCAGCCTCAGCTCTTACTAAGGCACTTGTTTCCCCCAAAACACCTTCGTTACTTTGCCATGTCCGACCAACCTCGTCCCCGTAAGCGGAACAGACTGACCAAGGTCTGCCGCCGGTGTCGGGCGAAGAAGTCAAAGTGCGATCTCCAGCAGCCCTGCTCCCAATGTATCAAGAGAGGTTGCCCGGATGAGTGTGAGTATGGGCCTCCGGTGAAGAAGGAAGCGCCCATGCTGAGAACGTCGTCGGTGGTGCTGGGCGCGTCCAACGGGTCCGATCTGCTTGAAAAACTGCTGCCCAATGACTTGAATGCCAATATCCAGAGACACCTCAGTGCCCGAAGCAGAGCCCATACCCAGGGCCTGATCTCCACATCCCACAATTCGCCTCCTACGCCATTGCCCACCGTCGTGCTAGAGGAAAACGAGTACTTGATCGGCGTCAATCCCATCGTCGGCACGGGCGATGTGCTCAACTTCCACATGGACTTCCTGGTGCTACTGCAAGGCATGAACTACACGCTCAAGCGGTTCACGGGGCTCAAGCGCACCGCCAGACCGCTCATGTTCATTGTCTTGTCCCAGCAGGAACCAGGCGCTCGTTTGTTCTGGGACTACGAGGAGTCCAGCTCCATGAAGCTCATCACGGTGTCGACTTTCGCCAAACCCGTGCAACAGTCCACCGTCGACAACGTCAAGCAGGTCTTTGCCGATCGCTACATCCCCAGCTACCAGGAAATAGCCGCCGCAGGCGGCTCTTTGACCAAACGGACCCGAAACCTTATCTCCCAGTACGGCTTTCCGTTGGCTATCACATTCACAAAAGACTTCCACGAGTCCGACCCGATCCCCGTGTCTCTCCGCAAAGTGCTCCCGCCAAAGCTCCTGGTGGTTGCCTTGATGAGACGCTTTTTCCGCAAGCTCTACGCCCATTACCCCATCATCGACGAAAGCTGGACTTACGCCCAGATCGACCGCATCATCCAGTACTCGCCCGACGGCCAGGTGGTTGAAAACGTTAACATCCAGAATAGAGAGGACCTCGCCGTGCTAGCGTACGTGCTTATTATTTTACGTCTCTCATACATGAGTCAGTTCTCCAACGTCAAGGATCACAATGAGGCCAAGCTTCGCATGATGGGCACATTTGCCGACGAGGAGCACTTCTCCATGCAATTCCCAATCACCATGGATGCCATTGAGTTGGCTGCCAGCTTCTTGCAAAAAGCTCGACTGCCGCTTAAAACCTCCTTTGTCGTGCTCCAGGCCTCCATCTTCATGTGTGTATACCGCTCGGTCGCCTTGGAGAGTGAGGCTGGCTGCAACACAATGGCCACCATTGAAAATTGTGGTAGTTTGACGCAGATGGCTATTTCATTGGCCCTCGACAGAGACCCCGATTCCTTGTGGGACCCAATGGACGACAAAACGAAGCTCCTACGCCGTAAAGTCTGGTACTTTTTGGTCACTTTGGACTTCAACACCTCCTATCAATTCTTCTGTCCGCTCACCATCCGGCCCAACCTGTACGATACTAAATTACCGGAGTATACGAACGGCATTTCCAACATTGCGGACGAGCAGTTTGAGAAACAGACCATCGCATCGTTAGCAAAAATCTACCAAACACAGCTAGCCGGCCTCGCTCTTCTTGAAATATGCGTCGATCTTCAAAACTTACATAAGAGTTCGGACTTGGTACAATGTCTTAATGATTTTGAGTATAAGCTTGGACAGGCATTCGGTGTGGTACCTGACTACTTCAACGATAAAACAGCGAATGTCCACCCGTCGATCAAGATTCTCAACCTACGAATCCTCGTCACGTTGAGACTCTTCATCGCCACTATTTATTACTTCTTGCACATGTTCTACAAGTACAAGGGTGACCACAGTTATGACTTTTTCTTCTTTAGGAAGATGGTGCTCATTGTATTCAGCGAGATGAACTACTTCTGTTCAGAATTGTTCTTTATTTGCGACAGGTTCTTTGACGACACGTTCACCATGATTATGTCCCCATTGATCCTATTTTACACTCACATCATTGCTGTTGCATGTTTGGGTTTTGCAATTCGACTCAACTGCAGCTTAATTGTGTTGGAGAGCTCAGGAGAGACCAACAGTTCCATGGTCAGTTCTCTCAAGAGTCTCGAAACCAAAAACGAATTCTTTGTTTTGAGAAAGCTCAAGCTTAACAAGTTACTTGGCGAGCGGTACTTCTACGCTTGGAAGACGACAAAATCTAATAGCTTCGGCTACAACATGGTGTACCAAAACAAGCTTTATAATGCCGATATCGATTTGCTCAAAAAGGCCAATGTCACCTGGACTGAACGTCAGCAATACGAGCTTGAAAATATTATACCTACCGATGTCCCACCAGAACTTGCGAATGCTGGCGACATCGGTCACTTGTGTTACTATAGTAATCGGTCGATTGACGATGCTGATCTCCGAGGCATAGACCTTGCGAAAACCGTCCAGACAGATAATTTGTGGATCAACTTCAACTACCTTATAGATGTGGATCCATACTCGACCAATTTCCCCAAGCGAGTGGCGATTGATTCGTTCCCTTTCAAAAATGCTCACCGAGATGCTACTAGACCTGTCACTCCACGGTCTGAGACAACGCTGTCTTTTAACGAAAATGTTGCTCCAAGCCCGAAGGATGCCAAGCCTACTTTGGTGACCCCCACTCCGGTAGAGCAACAGCCTCAACCACCACTCTTTGGTGTGACGCCTAACGAATTGTTAGATTTCAACCTTTTCAGCACGGACTGGACAATCGAGGACTTCTGTCCGTTGCAACACTACGAATGATATGACTAAAGACGCAAATGAATATGGGTATATTGTACTATAACAGTTTTAACGATTAAGCGTAGAAATGAATGCTCATGGGGAGACAACGGCCTCCAAATGCTGGTGATGTCCCTTGTAGATGTAGAATTGCACGAAGATGATGCCATCCTCGAGAATGGTGCCCAAGGAACCCAACAACCAACTCAAGTTCAACACAATGTACTGAGAGTCCGAGCGGTAGAACAAAATCTGGCCCGCGTAGGTGAGGTTACCCAAACTGGAGAACAAAAAGAAAAGCAAGCTCAAGCCCTCCACGGAGCGTCTTCTGTGGTTTTGGAGGATTTGGGGGATTCTGGCTCCCAAGTACAAGAGGGCAGACAAGTAGCCCACGATTTGTGGACCAGCGTCAATCTTGCTTGGGCTCTTGCCGTCGTCGGCTGCAGTGTCTGAAAACAAGAATCCCAAAACGCCGGCAGCAACAACGAAAATAATGGGCAACACGTAGCGGGTCACGATGCTGTGGTACTCTGGTTCCAATGCGATATCGGTCAAAGTAGAAGATCTTCTTCTCAACAAGGGGGCGTTTTCATGGGAGCCGTGACTGCCTCTGCTGCCTCTGCTGCTGGCTCTTTTTGGCTTCTTGTGGTGTTTGGGGTACACCTTTGTGTAGTAGAAGTAGGAAGCGATCATTAAGAAGTCTGCAATACAGAACCACACGGCCAAGAAGATGACCTCAGGGAGCAAGCCGGCCCACAAGGCACCCACCAAGTTGAGCACGTCGCCCAAAAACCAGATGGTGATAAAGCCAATGGCAATGCCCTCAGCAGACTTCATTCTCCACTGCTCAATGAGCTGTGGCATGAGTAAAACGATCCAACACGCAAGGCTGACGTTAGCAAAAGCTGGTTATAAAAAGAGCAGAAACATACGATGTGGAGCCCATGATGCCAGAGACGTTGGTGCGCCACGTGGCGACCGTCTCGGCTAGTGGGGCCAACTGGGAGTAGTGAAGCATGGTGGTGATGATGGATTTGTTTTCCGCGATAGAGTAGAAGCCGGAACCGCTTTCCCAAATGGGCACTAGCGATCTGGCGAGGAGCGAAAAAAAGAGAAAAATAGAGTTTGGAAGGGGGATCGGACTATTTATATTGGGATTTTGGGGATGTCGAAGGGGTGGCTTAAGGGGGGGTGGGTAGGGACTGGCGATGGGGATCAGGATGGTTTAGGCCCTACCGCACGTGTAGTTCCGGGAGGTGTCGGCGCAATCATTCTAATTGAATATATAATGAGTTGAAGGTGGAAAGAAATAGAACAACTTTTGAAGGATTCAATTAAAATGGTTTTGTGTTTGGGGAATGGAAGGATAGACCCCTGGGTGTTCGGACCTGCAGGGCAGACGGGTAGATAGGCCACACTCCGAACAATGCCCGAATCGAGGGTCCAGTTAGCTTGGAATATGTATGAGGGCTATTCAATTGGTGGTTCGGCTGGAATATTTGAAATGTAACGTTGTGGTGTCGTTGTGGTGACTGTGGTGTTGGGTGAGAATCTCTAGCATGAAGAGCTGTGTCCAATGCTGGATTCATCTGATGCTTATACTTAAAAAAAGGCTTGTTTAGGCTTTGTTCTTGAGCTCTGTATACTTGAAGCACAAAAGAATCCCACTGAATTACGTGTATATCGATTGTATCTCGCTTATGTGTGTATACTGGGAAGCATATTTGTGGCCTATTTGCAGCCAAATCGCATCTCTACTGCTAGTCATAGATGGATGACACCAGGACAGGGAAAATCATCTTTGAATATGCAAAATAAAATCAGGGGGACTGAAATGTAGATGAATATCAAAACTCCTTACAATTTCTTGTTTCTTCAACGTTACTTGTTTCGTTAACGGTACTACAGCCTCAGTTCAGCTATACGGAGCACCTTTCCAGTGATGCCACCAACACATCACATTCTACGCTTTTCTAAAAAAATCAAACCCTATACCACAAAATATCCGCCAATATTTATTGACCTTCCACTGCCAAAACGTCTCCATTCAATCAAATATTCAAATCCTGGTAGCCGATTCGTACCCTGTCCCAGGAGTGCACAGACTACATCTACTTCTCAGAGCGCTGGAAAAATTTTCCATCCACAAACCACTTCTTTTTCACATTATGGTACGTTTCATTCGCTAAACTAAGACGATCTTCCGAACACGCCTCTACGGCACCAGGAAGTGGATTCCTTTCTTTGGCACAAGCAAGGCTCGTAGAAAGCCAACTTTGCCAACTCACTGACAGAAACGTGTCGTCAGGCTAACCGATGTTAAGGAAGCCAAAAACCGCTAACCGACTTCGGCAGAGCCGGGCAGACAGTTTGTAACAAGAATGTGTTTCCACTTCTTGGTGCAAAGGCTGAGTATCCTCTGGATACTGTAGAGATTTGTTGGAATGACTGTTCGTTGAAAGTTTTATTGGAGAACAACAGACTAACTGATCTCAATGACACAGCCCGCCAAGAAAGTTGCTCCCCTCCCATTGGCTGCTAAAAGCCAGGCCGTTCAGGCCCCAACCGCTAACCCCCTTGTCGAGACGAGAAAGAGAAACTACGGCATTGGCCAGGACATTCAACCCAAGAGAAACTTGTCTAGATTTGTGAAATGGCCCCAGTACGTCAGATTGCAGAGACAGAAGAAGATCTTGTCCATGAGATTGAAGGTTCCTCCAGCCATTGCCCAGTTCCAGAACGTCTTGGACAAGAACACCGCTGCCCAGACTTTCAAGTTGTTCAACAAGTACAGACCCGAGACTGCTGCTGAGAAGAAGGAGAGATTGACCAAGGAGGCTGCTGCCATTGCTGACGGCAAGAAGGCCCACGACGTTTCTCCTAAGCCAGTTGTGGTGAAGTACGGTTTGAACCACGTTGTGTCCCTCATTGAGAACAAGAAGGCCAAGTTGGTTTTGATTGCCAACGACGTCGACCCCATCGAGTTGGTCATCTTCTTGCCTGCCTTGTGTAGAAAGATGGGCGTTCCATACGCCATCGTCAAGGGTAAGGCTAGATTGGGCACTTTGGTGCACAAGAAGGCCTCCTCTGTGGCTGCCTTGACCGAGGTTTCTGCCGAGGACGAGGCCGAGTTGTCCAAGTTGGTGTCTACTATCAACGCTAACTTCATTGAGAAGTACGAGGAGCACAGAAAGCACTGGGGTGGTGGTATCATGGGTAAGAAGCACAACGACAAGGCTGCTAAGAAGGCCAAGGCTTTGGAAGTTGCCCAGGCCTCCGGTCAGGCTTAATCGGAAGACACTTAGTTTTAGGAATGTTACGGAAATAGAGAGTGGCAGTCGTAGAGTCAGACTCTTCTAGTAGTGTACTTTGGAAGGGAAATTGATGCTGAATGCTCATCATCTTCCGAGAGAATTAACCTTCATTCTCATCCAGATTAAATTTCATCCTTCGAGCTAGATTTACAAATTATCTTCCCATATGTTGGACTACTGTCTGGTATCGTTTTCGCAGCCATTTTTCAGACAGTATAGTACCCACCTAACATCATATTAATCTGAACGAACTCACTCAGATAGCACCCCAGCTCTATTTCAACAAACTGCTTTCCATCCTCATTTCATTTATACTTCATTAACGCTTCATTTGTGCCGATTTCATAATTTCTCCCTAGAAGTGTCGTGCTTATACTTGCGTCACGTGACCGCGGTGACTGCTCTCACCCTGCACACCGTCCTCAAAATTTTCGCTCCCACTCTAGCAAAAAAGAGCCTGTCGCATTAAGAAGTTTCCCTTTCTTCCACCACATAGAAATCGGTATGTCTCCATCCGCCCCAGAAACTCGTCCAGGGCCAATATCGAAGTGCTGTTAGCGTCCCAAATGCTATATTATTGAAAATCTTGAACCTCCGTTTGTTTAGAACTCCCCAGAATGTTCCCATCCCTCCATCAAGATCTAACGTTGTTTTGACCATAACCACTTCGAATCCTTCCAAACCCCGTACTAACCGTCAGAAAATGGCTAAGTCTAAGAACCACACCAACCACAACCAGAACAAGAAGGCCCACAAGAACGGTATCAAGAAGCCTAAGACTCACAGATACAGATCTTTGAGAAACGTGGACGCCAAGTTCAGAAGAAACCACAGATACGCTTTGCGTGGTACCGCCAGAGTGTTGGCTGCCGAGAAGGAGAGCAACTAAGTGGTGTTCGTAAGTACTCAAATGGTATAAAATAATGTCCATCAGTGTAGCAGGCGGATCATGTGTTCGAGACTGGAAAACCGGAAGTGAACAACTTTTTGATGATGATTGGAATGAGCAGCACGTAGAGGGCTGTCTCAGCGGGAATCCTATAGTATCGAATGTTGTTGAAGCTCTTCTTTGTAGATCATGCTGCTCAATGCTGTACTTGCGGTACTATGGTATACTCAATGTTAAGGAGGGAAATATATTCAAAGTATACTATAATACTTCTGGAATCTTTTACTTCACTCCATTGACTTCGGTAACGATATTGGTTTCATGCTGGTGGTTCTCTTAGTACTAGGTGGTTCTCTTAGTACTAGCCTCTGGTTTGAGAGCTACGGGACTTCCACATAACCTCTGATTCATGCTCCAGAAACTAACCTGAAGAAAATCTTCACATCTATGCTAGCTGGTTTCTTCATTTCAACTGATTGGGTATGTTAAACTGGTTTGAATCAGCCAGTATCTGTGTACCACTTACGGCTTATGACAGATATCGCCTCTTGACTACCATCATTAGTTAAGTTATCATCCCAATTGCAGTTCATTTAGAATTCAATGCATAAGAGCACTAATTACAGAAAAACTATAAGACCCCTTGCCATTAGATCTGGTTGTCTTGTCTCACACTGACTAGACTACCTAACACCACCACTTCATACCGAGTCCAGCCCTATAACTAACGAGACATACACAAACATAACCAATTGTTCTCTGCTTTATTAAAAGAGTCATAAACCATTCATCTAAATCATTTACGAAAGACCCGTCTATGTATGTAATGCAAATCTGAAGGGGGTGGACTGTACGGACCCCATGGCTGCAAAAAAGTGCTTCCCCGAGTATAAGTAGACGTGAAATCCGCCACTTTTTTGACCAACACGTCTGACGCAATGTTCCATAAAATCCAGATTCTTAATCTCAACTTCCACACTTCCGAGGAAGAATTGTCTTCGCTCCTCGCTCCCTTCAACTGGTAAGTGGCACCTCCTGGGGTTCGCCATTATCTACTAACACCCTTCAGTAAGGAGGTATTGATTCCGTTGTCGCCCTATCCCTTGAGACACTCAAAAAGTAAGCCAATGGGTTTGGGGTACGCGTTTTTCGATACTCTTGCTGACGCCAATGTTGCCGTTGAAACATTGCACACGACGGAGTTCAAATCGAGAACCTTGACCGTTCGCTATCACGTCCCGTATGTTCCTGGAGAGAGGATTGGAACCATAAGAGGGTTCAGTAAACTCGGATCTGGGTCGCCTGAAATTGCAGCTCAACCAAGTACTGGCAAGAATAACGAGGAAGACGGCGCTGCCAATGGCCTTAGCACTAAGATCCTCAACGGGTTGAAGGCCAAGTCAGAAGCTGCCCATGCCGTAACTTCTACCCAGAACCATGATTTGAAGCTGGATGTTCAGGAAACCAAAAGTACTTCTAATGCTTCTCAGGCTCAGAACGGGCTGGTTGCTGCTAACCCAACTGCTCCTCCGGGATCATTGAGACGCCTGTCTACTTACAACGGCGCCAAACCATCTAGGAAGACGAAGAGCTCTGCATCCCCAGAATCACCAGGAGAGCAAATCACTTCTTCTATGCTGGAGCCAGAAGAAGATGCTTACTCTAACGACACCATCTTCATCCGTGGTTTGAAGGGCAAGGCTACTCGAGACGCGATCATGGAGTACTTTAAAGCGTACAACCCAGTCAAGGTCAAGATTACAAAAGCCAAGAGGTTTGCAAAAGGATGGAGCAGCCGCAGTAATGTTCTCATCAAGTTTGATTTCAAGGATGGTAACACCATTGATCGGGTGATGGAGGAGTGTCAAAACTGCTTGTTCGATGGAAACCCGTTCCATGTCGACAAGGCCTACGTTCGTAAATCAGCATTGACACCATCCTCGGCAATCTCAGAGAAATCGGCACTGCCAAAGGAGGCACAGATTGATTCCAGCTCTCCAACTATCGCGGAAGCCTTAGAGTTGGGTAAGGAGGAAACCGGCAAGGAAGTGAAAGAAGTAGAAGCTGAACCAGTGGAGAAGACCGAGGTGAAGGATACAGCCGAGTCTAAGCCAGTGGAAGCACCGGTAGAGCCTGCCAAGGTCGAATCCACCGCATGATCCTTCTTTCTAGAATACATCTACAGTATAGCGTATGTCGATTATGTTTTGTGCTTCATTACTATACATCAGAGTGAGCAACACACTTAGTCCTGAGTCTTCTGGGTACCTCTCAACAAACCAGTTCTTCTGGCGGCAATCAAACCAGCCTTCTGACCTGGGACGGCACCTCTGGAGATGGTAGAAGCCTTACCAATGTGCTGGTGGTTACCACCACCGTGAGGGTGATCAACTGGGTTCATGGCCACACCTCTAGTTCTTGGCCAGGAGTTTCTCTTGGCCTTGTACTTGTGGAAAGCTCTACCGGCCTTCAACAATGGCTTGTCGATTCTACCACCACCGGCAACAACACCAATGACACCTCTGGCGTCAGAGTTGATGATCTTCTTGGCACCGGATGGCAACTTGACTCTGGTCTTACCCTCGTCGTGGTTGTGGCCAATGATGATGACGTAGTTACCGGAGGTTCTGCCCAAGGCACCTCTGTCACCAACCTTCTCCTCAACGTTGGAGACGATGGTACCCTCAGGACAAGAGCCCAAAGGCAAAACGTTACCGACGTTCAAAGAGGCCTTCTTACCACAGTAGATGAACTGACCAGTGTAAAGACCCTCGTTGGCAACGAAAGTCTCCTCTCTCAACTTGTATCTGTATGGGTCTCTGAAGACAACCTTGGCCAAAGGAGCACCTCTACCGGAGTCGTGGATGATAGACTTGACAACACCACGAATGTAACCGTGACGTTCAGCATAGTCCAAGGTTCTCAACTTGGCAGCACCCTTTCTCAATCTGGTGTGAGCGGTGAAGATGGAGCCAGCACCCTTTCTCTGGTTACGAATAACTCTACCTGGACATGTTAGTATTATTTTTGGGGAATTTGATACCGGCGGGTTCGATAGAGACGCTGGGAGGTCTCTAGAGCCGTGTTTTAGGACGTTGGTGGTCACATACCCATTGTTAGTGATTGGCGATAACTGGTTAAAAACCTTCAAAAGAGTTTTTCACTGGGTGGAGGTGAGAAGATTTTTTCCTGGAGGGGGCCTGCACCCAGGCGTTCATCACTGCGCACCGGGCTGGAGCCCTAACGGGATGGTATGAGCACGTGACTTGAGGTTGAAGTAGCAGAATTGGCAGGTTTATGCCCCCCTAGGCTCATTCAACGCTAGTATTGCTATGTTCTGAAGCCTCCATAGTAGGGCCATGTGAGCATCCTACCTTTCCCACGTTGCTGGCACTCCCAGCCTCTCACCTCTCCACACCCAAGCAAAGAATCAGAACCTATCTAACACGTCTCGGCTGTTCCTTCAATTTTGTAGATTTCTTCGTCATCTTCATCTCTCCCTTGATGGCGATCACCATCCAGATCCTCTGCGGACACGAACGCCGATGAAACGGGCCAATTCGTCAAACAACTCAACCTCGTCCTCTTTCTTCAAACCCTTCAATTTCTCCTCAAGCGACTTGGGCTTAGGGTTGAAGAGCTTCTCGGCATCCTCGGCGCTGAGTGTCTCCAGCTTCAAAAGCTCAGCCACCTCCTCAGGGTTGTTGTTTTCCACAATAAGCTCGAAGAACTCACACAATTGCAAAAGCGACGCAGCGTCCAAGTTCTTCAATTCTCCTAGCGTCTTGGGGTAGAATTCAGGAGGGTGTTCGCCGTCTTTATTGGTCAATGGGGCGATTTGTGTAGAAGCTTCGGCGTCCTGGGCAATATGAGAATTGTACACTCTCTTGACGTTTCTGTCCTCCAAGAAATCAAGCTGGCTTTGCAATTCCGTGACCAACTGGACTAAGTCGTCGTTGGTGGCGAACTCATCCGTATCGATCTTCTGTTGTGGCTGTTCCGTGTTCAAAGAGGCCATTCTAGATTTGACGTCCTTGACCTGGTACTCCATCATCTGTTTTCCGGTTTTGGCAATCACCTCGCTCTGTTTTTGAACAAGAGCAGAGAGCTCATCGACTCTTTTGTTGAGTTCTTCCACAGACATGGTTTGTTATGATAAGAAGAGTGCTTTGTTACGCTGGCTGATGTGCACAGGTGCAGGAGACACGATAAGACGGCTGGAACAAGAAGTGTCAGGCAAAGTGTAAAATATAGAAATTCAGAGTCAAGTCATTTTTTTAGTCTAATTCTCTCGAATAGCCTACTTTGAGCTGGTTTATTCGAAAGGGCCAACGTGGGATCTGCACTGGAGGATCACTACCACAGCATTCCCCTACAAAAGCCTGAAATAAGCCAGCCGTTCGGCCAAATCTTTAATTACTAAATGTTAAATTTAATTTCCCGAATTGCAAGGCTTAGGTAGGGATGAGTACTGGCAGGTTCATAATCCATAGCGTTGGCCCAATCACTAAAAGATGTCACACTTGCCAAAATCAAGAAAATGGGATTCTGAGCTTTTTGACGGTGAAATCCAAAAATGGACTACCCCATGATCCAGCACGATTGTGCGTCGTAAAGAAAGGCACGTTCTCTGTCACTATAGGTCATTTTGGTGTGCATCACAAGCCGTCTGTCCAAATCAGGCAGGCGAGCAAGCACGAAAGGCGGTGTGCGCAGGTCCAGCAGCCAGAGGGTCCCCGTTAATTCTGGACCTGTTAGTCATATGGCAAAATAAATGGCACAACTGGAATCCTTGAATTCTCACCATTCTAACGGTACCATTTTTGTACCACTATTCTGCAATTTCGGAAATCTTGCAGGAGGCCCTGAAGGAGGCTGCATGGCCTTTTTCGCAGCCAGTAGCAGAGCTATCAGTACCCCGTCAAACAGTATAAATAGACCAGAAATTCCCCTTCTTTACAGATCCACAGAAAAATGCTTCATCGCTTCGCCACCTTCATCCCCTTTGTGCTCATCGCCGGCTCCACGGTGATGCTCCTCTTCATCAACCTCAGTGGTACCCTGGACAAGCTGGTGTTCCTCAACAAATTCTACTTTTCCAAGGCCACCGTTAAATTCGAAAGACGCTGGACCATGTACGCCATGTGTACGCCTTATGGCGACGGTCAGGTCCAGTGCACCAAGAAACTGCCGGCTTACCCCTACGATCCTAGCCTGAATTTGGGTGCAAGCTATGTTCCTGAAGAATTCGACAAGAACCAGAAAACATACTTCTACTTGTCGAAAATTGCCTATCTGATGTTTTTGCTTGCCCTCTTGTGCTCCATTTTGTCCTTGTTGCCCGTGACCATCCTGTGCTGTGCATGCACTGGCTTCCTTACCGGCTTCTTTGCATCTTTCGTCATTGGGGGAGCTCTATTCCTTGATATTTTGGCTTGTTCGTTGCAAACGGCTGCACACGTGAAAGGCGTCAATGCGTTCAAGAAAGCAGGCTTTCTGGCGCTGTTGGGCACGCCGATGTTCATTTGCATGTGGTTGAGTGTTGGAACGCTTTTTGTAGCGTGGGTGTGGATGATCAAGGTTGGAGTGGCTGGGTTCCACCAGATGTTTGGCGGCGGAAAGAAGAAACAGAGCTACGATAGCGAGCTGGACGGGAAAAACTTCCTGGATTGAGCTTCTTGTTAATAATATGGTTTTGGTTGATTTACTGTAGATGCGCATCAGTATGCTGTTCGCTTAAGCTAGCCTCTGGCTCTAAACCGGTCACTTTTGGTCCACCATGGGAATTAAGGTTTCAATTATGAAGATTGGGTCAATGGGTTCTACTGGACCTACGCTGAGCTTCAATGTTCCTTGATTCGATAAATATGGCCGTCTATCAGCTCTCCTGTTCTGTCTGCTCCTTGGGCTTCTCTTCACTGGAATCGGCCTTCTTAGACTCCTCCTTGGACTCGTCGTTGGGTTCTTTATTGGACTCGTCATTCTTAGACTCCTCCTGAGACTTAGAAGTCTGGGTACCCTCCTTGGCCTCCTTCTCCTTCCTCTCTCTCTCCTGCTGCTCCTTCTCACTCACCACGACCCTGTTGCCCAAAGCATTGCGCTCCAAAACTTTAACGTCAATGTCTGCGCCCAAAACGCCGTCTTCTCTGGCCAATTCTATGAGCTCCCTGACCTCACTGGTGGAGAAGTTGCCGTCAATGGGGATCTTTCCAGAAGGAACCTCGAAACCGTCGTAGTCGAGTTCAGGCGATGGAGTTCGTGAGGGAGAGGAAACGGGAGATTCGGACTTGCGGCCGTGAACTTGGCCTTCCTTCTCTTTCTTGGTGCCTTCGTTGTCGTCGTCATCTATATTCTCATTCACCAACTTATGTAGCTTGTTCAAAGTAGCCTCCCTGAGTGCTTCCTCGTTGAGGTTCTCTTTCGAAGGCTGCGTGACTAGTTCGATTCTGCCCATGGTTAATTGGTGTTGTGGACGTGTTTGAGGAAGAGAATTGTCGAAAACAAAAGTTGCTTATGATGTCATACAGACTGGGGGACATGCACTGGCTATCGCTTGCTTGTGTGCAGGTCGCGTGTCTTATCTCTATAAAGCCGGGCAATTCTGCCACCACGAAATGGATTCTGGGATTTTTTAAAAACGAAATGGGGAGGGACCGCCGACAAACACGTAGCTTCGTTTGTTTCGGTTGAATCGGCGCCGGTCTCGGCTGACATGTGATCGGGTGCAGCGCCACACCCATGTCTCACCGAGGCATGTCCATGCATCTCCAGAGTCTAAATGGGACAGAGGGTGGACCCCTTCCCTTTTGGATCAGGGGTGGTTTTAGGGGTTTGGGTGATTTTGTGGTGGCTTCTCGACGTTTTGATGGGTTTCGGAAAACCACGAAAATGACGAATGCCCTGGAAACGACTTGGTTGTTGTTCCTCGTGGTACGGGTCCACCGCTGTATGTGCCCTATAACTAAGCGAAGCGGAGTTCCACCCACTGCTCCTTCGCCAAGATCAGCACCCACCGATCCCTGGTCATCAAGGAAATCTGCCGAATTCCTCAAATTCATTCTATTAATGATGTCCCACATTCAGTGTTAATTGACGTTAACAGGATCGTGCACCCTTTGACTGCCTCCATTCGTGCACCTCACCGCTCCACACTACAATTGGACAATCTCCAAAACTGACTAAACGGATCCTTCTTTCACGTACAGGCTCAACAATGAAGCTCGTCTGGGCATCCTCGGCACGCGGAAGCACCGAGGCCCGAGCCGTGGTTCGAGAAATGTGCCATTTTGTCAAATCCCCGTTATCCGTGATTTCAAAAACTCCCCATATTTCGAAGCTTTTTTGCACCCGCTCGCAAATCGTCCTGTAGCCGTTGAGCGTTTGTCCATCGTGCTTAACCGAAAAGTCTCATTTCGCAGCCATCAGCCGTACGCTCCACGAAGAGTTACACTTGAAAAAAACAAAAATCAAAGAATCTTACTCAAATTCCAGAATCGGTGAATTCTCGTGAATCCCCAAATTCCTCGCGTTCCACCATATCGTCGTCCTTCCTCTTTCGGCCTACCCCACTGAGCCTCCACCATCAACAGCGCGAACCTCATTCTCCATAATTCCACCTCCACCTTCTTCGTTTTCCTCCACACATGGACACCAGGCGACCGGTCCTCCTCGTGGCCCTACTAGGGCTTTTCTTTTTTTCGCTTATTGCCCAGTCGTACCTTTACGGCAACCACACCGGCGCCGATGCTCCCGAATGTCGAACCGTTTCAATGTACCCATCGTACGCTCGAATACGGTCTTTTGATAAAACGCATACCCGTTTCGCTTCCAAGTACTCCTTGTGGCTTTACAGGGAGCAGGGCAAGGACACCATTCCCAAGAAGGAAGGAGAGGGTTTCCAGGCGCTCGATGGTATCCCCATCTTGTTCATTCCTGGAAACGCCGGATCGTACCGTCAGGTCAGATCCATAGCTGCCGAGACGTCCGTGTTGTGGTTCGATCCAAACATCAACGTGGTCGACAACCCCAAGCAGAAAAACTACGACTTCTTTGCCGCCGACTTCAACGAGGACTTCCTGGCCTTCCATGGCCGTACCATCTTGGACCAGGCCGAGTACTTGAACGACGCCGTGGCCTTCATTCTCCTGCTTTACTCCCACAACGAAAACCCGCCCACGTCTCTCATTTTGATGGGCCACTCCATGGGCGGCATCGTCGCAAGACTCATGCTCACTTTGCCCAATTACGTGCCAGGATCCGTCAACACCATCCTCACTCTTTCGTCGCCCCACTCGGCACCTCCACTCACTTTTGACGGTGATCTCTTGCGGGTGTACTCCGCTATCGACCGTTTTTGGTACGACGGCTTCCACCTGACCCTGAAAGAGCCCTCCTTGGCTCAGCAGAGACTCCACAACGTCTCGGTGGTTTCTCTCACAGGCGGTCTCCTCGATTCCATTTTGCCTGCCGACTACACCACCTTGGGCTACTTGGTGCCGCCCTCCAACGGTTTCACCATGTTTACCACCGGTATTCAGGATGTCTGGACTCCCTCAGACCATTTGGCCATAGTGTGGTGCCGCCAGCTCCGAAGACTGATTGCCAAGTGGCTCTTGAGCATCGCTGATATAACATCGCCTCACAGAACGTACCCCTTGGAGCGCCGCATGGAGCTCCTGCGCCAGTTGTTCATGACTGGCTTTGAAAAGTACACTGATCAGGACTTTGATTTGACCAAAGACTTTGTGAGAGTCACCTTGGACAAGAGCACCGTGAACTTTCTCGGCCCCAATTCACTCCTTAAATTGACCAACAGGCGCCACAGTCCTCGTAAGGTCAACATCATCATGACGGAGCCCGGACAGACCCTTCAGTTCCTTTCTCTGGACGTCTTGACATACTGGGAGGATGCCATGATTGCCGAATCCCAAACGGCCAGTGCTCTTATGTGTAAGAAGGCCAAGAAGGAAAACGCCGATCCAGACAATTCTTTTGCCGGACTCGAATGTATTGATTTGTTCACTCACATCCACCAGGTGCCTCGTTCCAGCAACGATGTGCGCAAGTTGATGGACTCCTCCTTCGATGGCGACAAGGAGTCTTTCTACGGCTGTAAGATTGGGCCTCAGATCTTGGACAACTTCGATATGATCATCATTCACGAGCCGTTGAAGACATCCGACTCGCACTTTTCCGTGGCCCATCTTATATCATCCAGCAAGACAAATGTCACTCTTGAGTCGGACTTAAGCAGTCTCTTGGTGTCGAACGTCGAGGCTAAACTTCCTGCTGACAGACCCATGGCATTGAACATCTACGTTCCCGGAGCTTGGTCCAGCATTCTCGCCTACAAGGTTCGCTTCAAGAACTTGGAGAAGAAGGGCCAGGATTTCTCTCCTTTCATCCGCCAATGGAGAGACGAGCCATACGAGACCAAGTGGCACATCAACGTCAAAAACGGTGCTGAGACTCATATCAGTGTCCACGCAATTGCTCCATTTACACCATTTGACAGAACCAGAGAGCAACAGGGTGTGAACCTTGAACTTTGGGTGGATCCTGAGAATCCAAAGTCAGACAAGCCTTTGGAAGACGTCAAGGTCATTTTCTCTGTTGACGTTTGGGGCAGTTTGAGACTCTTGGTGCTTCGTTACAGACTAGCTGTTGTGGCTCACTGCCTTGCAGTCTCGTTGTTGGTGTTTGTCTTCCAGTGTTTGAGATATTTCGACACAGGCAAGTTCCCTGACCAGTTGTATGGTCTTGGGTGTGTTTGCGAGCGCAAGCTCTTCTCGATTTTGGTGGTCCTATTTGGATCGCTTTCGGTAATTGTCAAAAACAAGACCATCCAGGCTATTCTTAATTTCGCTGACCCGGTAGTCTGGCACCGCAGAAACGAGATCAACATGAGCTTGCATCCTGACTATACCCTTAATACGTTCTACCTTGGTCTCGAGGAGGACTGTCTTTGGTATTTTGGCCCATTATTTTTCCTTATGGCCATTGGCATCAACTGGTTCATCTACCACTTCCTAATTTACACCGGTCAGCTTATAGTTTACGTTGGAAGGTTGACGAAAATGTTCCCAAGAAGCTTTGAAGAAAAAGAGGCACCTCTTGTTGAATGGAACAAGACCAGGTTGGGTGTGTTAGCGCTTCTTGTTGTTCTTGTGTCGTTCTACTTGCCATACCAATTCGCTTACTTGACCGCATTGGCATTGCAAATCGTTACTGTTATCAAGCTCATGGCCCACCGTAACGCTAAGACAGCCTGCAACTACAATATCAGCTTGATGTTGTTGATGCTCTGGGTTTTACCCATTAATATTCCGGTTTTCATTGTGTTTGTCCACAACTTCAGCATCAATTGGACCTCGCCATTCTCGTCACACCACAACTTCTTGGCTGTGGCGCCTATCGTTGCTTTGGCACAGCTTCAGAGCCAATACAGCGAATGGGTTCCAATTCCACGCAAGGGAGAAGGTAAAAACATTTACTTCCGTGTCGTTATGGCGGTTCTAGTGTACACTGTCTTTTACTGTATGGTTTACGGCGTTCGTCACACGTACTGGCTACATCACTTGTTTAACTTTTCGTGTGGCTTGCTTTTGCTAGGGTTTGGAGAGAAGATGATGTTGTGACTAGCCGACGCACGCCACCGGTGGCGCTTGAGGAAGAATTCAAGAAAGCACGATTAATACGGAGAAAATGGGGTCACTGAATTGACCCTGGTGGCGTTGTGTTTTGAAGCTCGTTGTTTTGAAGCTCGTTGTTTTGAAGCTCGTTGTTTTGCAGTGGCGATTTCGCCATCAATTGTGGGCCGACATGGTCACGAGTCTTGACTAAGGCTCCATAGCATATACATTAGACATTCTGTGATAAGAAAATAGACATTATGGATAGGGCAATGTAGTGAGAGGGTAATGGGGTGATGGCGCGTGGAGTGTTTTGAAAATAAACAAGGCAACAAATAGCATAGTATTAGTATCGTTGTGGCCAGGCGTCAAGCTACTGTACAGCGGAGTCCAATACAATTCCATTACTAATATACAAATACATTACACTGAAAGCAGCCAGTCATGTGCAAGTGCTATCACACAGTGAAGCAAGTCAGCGGCATAACTTAGTTGGCAGCAGAGGAGTACTTGGTGACAGCTCTGGTACCTTCGGAGACGGCGTGCTTAGCCAATTCACCTGGCAAGATCAATCTGACGGCGGTCTGGATCTCTCTGGCGGAGATGGTGGACTTCTTGTTGTAAGCAGCCAACTTGGAGGCCTCGGAGGCGACTCTCTCGAAGATGTCGTTCACGAAAGAGTTCATGATGGACATGGCCTTCTGGGAGATACCAGTGTCTGGGTGGGTCTGCTTCAAGACCTTGTAGATGTAAGAAGAGTAAGTCTCCTTTCTGGTCTTGGTCTTTCTCTTTGGCTCACCGGAAGAGGCGGTCTTCTTGGCGG